TCACGCGTCTCCTTGCTACTGTTGTCACTGACCCTTCTTTCGAGTCTACTGCTGCGTCTGCTCTCGTTACTAAGCTCCTCGACTTTGCTGCTCGCTGACGCTTAGACTACGCTGCTAGTCTTGTCGCTAAGTCTGAGTCTGTCTGTCCTCCGTTCGTCCGGGGTGAGTGTGCCCTTGGCACGGACGTCCTTGAGGACAGGCAGGAGGAGTTCCAGTGTCTGGCAGCTGCTTCACCTCATCTCGTGTCCGTACTGCTTACCCCTGAGGGAGACCCAGATGCACTTGACATCCCGACTCCGCGCTCTTACGCGGAGGCGATAGAGGGTCCCTACTCCTCTCAGTGGCAGGCAGCTATGGATGCAGAGATGGCTTCCTGGAAGTCCACAGGCACCTACGTTGACGCTGTCCCCACTCCTGGGGCGAACATCGTCAGTGGCATGTGGATCTTCAGGGTGAAGCGGCCGCCGGGTTCTCCGCCTGTCTTCAAGGCGCGTTACGTGGCTCGTGGCTTCAGTAAGCGGCAGGGAGTTGACTACTTTCAGACCTTCTCCCCCACCCCGAAAAAGACCACTCTTCGGGTACTGCTGCACGTTGCTGCTCACCGTGACTACGAGCTGCACTCTCTTGACTTCAGCACAGCTTTCTTGCAGGGCAGCCTGCACGAGGAGATCTGGCTGCGTCGCCCACCTGGCTTCACTGGGTCTTTCCCTCCTGGTACCCAGTGGAGTCTCCGGTGTCCAGTCTACGGTCTCCGCCAGGCGCCACATGATTGGCACGACACACTGAGGACTACGCTTGCGGCTCTTGGGTTTGCTCCTTCTACTGCCGACCCGTCGCTGTTTCTGCGCACCGACACCCCTTTGCCGCCGTTCTACATCCTCGTGTACGTCAACGACTTGGTCTTTGCCACAGCTGACACTCCTGGACTCGCCTACGTGAAGTCCGAACTGCAGAAGAGACACACGTGCACAGACCTGGGTGAACTGCGCAGCTACCTTGGCTTGCAGATCACCCGGGACAGAGCACGCCGCACCATTACCCTGACTCAGTCACACATGGTGCAGCAGGTCCTTCAGCGCTTCGGCTTCACGTACTCCTCGCCTCAGGCCACTCCTCTGTCTACTCGCCACTCGCTCTCAGCTCTGCCTTCGGATGAATTCGTAGAGTCGAGTGGCCCGTACCCAGAGCTTGTTGGCTGCCTCATGTACCTGATGACCTGCACACGACCTGACCTTTTATACCCTCTTAGCATTCTCGCACGCTATGTTGCTCCTGGGAGACACCGACCATAGCACATGGCTGCAGCGAAGAGGGTGTTGCGCTATTTGTGCAGTACTTCGGGCATGGGGCTAGTGCTTGGAGGGCGGAGTCCAGTGGTCCTCACTGGGCACGCGGACGCTTCTTGGGCTGACGACCAGGCTACGCAGCGGTCGTCACAGGGTTACACCTTCAGCCTTAGTTCCGGCTCTGTTTCGTGGCGGGCTACTCGCTCGTCTTCTGTTCTTGGCTCCAGTTGTGAGGCTGATATCTACGCCGGGGCCATGGCTGCACAGGAGCTTCGCTGGCTCACCTACCTGCTGACCGACCTTGGAGAGCCGCCTCGTTCTCCTCCAGTCCTGTACGTAGACAACAAGGCCATGCTGGCCTTGTGTCGAGAGCAGCTACTGGAGCACAGAACAAAGCACATTGCTCTTCGTTACTTCCTTGCTCGTGAGCTACAGCAGCGTGGACAGTTGCGGCTTGCGTACGTGGCCTCTGAGGCCAACACTGCTGATGTCTTCACCAAGGCACTTCCGCCTTGTAATCATTAGCGCTTCTGCACTCAGCTGGGTCTTGTGCCCGTCTTGCCTCACTTGCTCTCCTCTTGACCTTGCTTGTACTCTCATATATATATATATATATATATATACCTGCTCTTGCTTGTCTACCTTTATATATGTGTGTGTACTCTTGCATGTGAACTGGCCGTGTGGCCTTGACCCTGTGCTCGGACTGTGTGGTGACTTTGTGATCCACCCTGAGCTTGCTTTGCTTTGCTTGACTGGTCTTGTGACCCCTTGTTCTCCCCCACTTTGCCTATGGGGGTGTGTCAGAACATTATAGCTTATGCTGTTGTGTAGGCTATAGTGGGGTATCCCATAGGGGGTACAACGAATTAGGGTTTCATATTTGTACTCACTTCATTTCATAGTTCACTCATTCTCGTTTCGATTCTCACAATTTTTTGGTCCAAGCGAGCACTTGGCCCAAGTGACGACTTGGTCCAAGCGAGAACTTGGTCTAAGTGACAACTTGGTCCAAGCGAGCACTTGACTTAAGTGATTATTTTGTCCAAGCAACGACTTGGTCCAAGCAAGCACGACAACTTGCACCAAACGAACATTTGGTCCAATCGAGCACTTGGTCCAAGCGATGACTTGGTCCAAGCGATGACTTGGTCCAAGCGAGCACTTGGTCCAAGTGACGACTTGGTTAAAGCGAGCACTTGGTCCAAGTGAGAACTTGGTCCATCCGAGGACTTGGTCCAAGCGAGCACTTGCTATGGGAACCTTTTTGCACAAAGAGAAGGGTGGAGTTAGTAGAGTGATGAATAGTTTGGTTTATCATTGGAGTACACATTCCACTGTTCTTAGTGCGTGTATGGAGCTGAAATTTCACTTGTGGGGTTGTTTTCGTTGCCTGCTGCTCCGTCAAAATATGCTGCTGCCATTGGTCGGAAACCACTCAGCAGGATCCAAATGGACATTTCAGACTGAGCGGACGTGGCAAATTCTGACGATTTTCCAAAAAGTTGGCACCATAATCTCGTCAACCCGTCAGATGTGTGGCTGGTGCCTTCTCCGATGCGCTGACGGGAGAAGCGCTGGGGGAAACTGTTGCCAAAAAAGGTCAGTTTGTGAAGCGTCTCCTACCGAGGGCACCTCGCCCATGACACAATGCTCGGTTCATCACCACAACCCTGGTTTCTGCCCCTGACCGGCTGTTCTGTGTCGTGTCATCCTTTTGTATCTTGCAACTTGGACCAAACTACCGGTCCGTCAATTCTCTTCTGGCAAGCAGACTGCTCCGATAACCAGCTCACATGCTCCGTGCATCTCATTCTTTCTCACGCCCTTGTTCCAATCCACCCATCCATTTGTCCATCCGTATTACCGTACCGTACCATTCGTTTTTCCTCGTGTTTCTGTCATTCTTGCCCATGAAAAGTGTGACCATCTGTCAGTGAGAGTTGTCCTTTCATGCGTCCAGATTTGGCAGCAGCGTTTTGCTCCCATCAACCTAGCCCAGCGCAGCGTCGCTGATACTAGGTTACTCTGGCGTCTGGTTCCTCTGCACTGCGTCAGGCATTCTCTTCGTGCCGTGGTTTCATCGTTAGGGTTTCCCTGCCTCACGTGCCATCACTGGTTGATGCGTTCCTGATACGTGCCATGGCGACCCGCGTCGGAATCTCAGACCGTTCGATTGCCATCACAAGTTCCCTTTCAGGTGATCGCCAACGCACTGTTGTTCTCATCACTGCTCCTACTCTCCTATCGTACGCGCTGCCGCATCAGATTCACTGCATACGGTCGATGCAGTTGACGAATATGCCATACCCTTCCGGCAATCCACTACCCTAAGCATTCGCTTCCCGTGCATTTCCGATCAATGATTCGTCAGAGTCTTGTATCAACAAGATCTCGGTCTTTATCCGTATAGGCGTTAGGGTTATGCTGCCGGACCATGTTTTTCTCACATTCACAGTTTTAGGTTATGCTGTACGTCAGGTGTGATTCTCCCTGACAGGACCTTTATCCTGGTTAGCGTGTTTCTTGTGTATCTTTGTTTTCCTATATCCACTTGTATCAACTTGTTCCCTCAGCTGCTTGAACTCTGGTTTTTTATCCAATGCACTGCTGCTGCCCATTCATCTCCCACTCCAGAGCTTACTGGATTGCGTCCTAGCCTCCTTCCAGCTCGCCGAACCACGCAACAGACCAAGAACTCAGGTTCGGGGCGAACGCGGCAACGTAATTCGCAATGTCGGTCCGCTGCAGCAGCAGCAACAACAGCAGCAGCTGATTGTTCTTCCACATCAAACGGTCAAGATTTCGCGAGGCAAAGATCCGGATGGCTGAACGGCCGCGCGTGCCTGATTTGCGCTGCACAGGGCTGCGTATCGTGCGTCGGCGTAGCTCCACGTGTCACCCTCCCTTCACCAGTACGCACCCACCAATCCTTCCCCGAAACATCATACCCGCAAACCACTGCTTTAACAACGGCCTTATCTTTGTCTTCAAGTAATTTTGCATATTTTCCTCTCTTTGTTGCCCTTCCAGGGATGTCGTAGGCGTTACTCCCGCAGACGTGTTCTCGCGCGAGGATCCCAAGGGTCCGCAGGGGAGAGATTCTTAGAGTCGGAACCGGGAGGGTCGGGGGAAAGCGGTGTAGCAGGCGGTAGTAGCACCAGCGCCAGCAGTAGCAGCAGCAGCAGCTGCGGAGATTCAGTCATTGCGGATTCAAATAGTAGTAATGATGGGGAGACGGAAGGGAATGGTCGAGTCAGCAGTAGCAGGGCAAATGCTAGCAGCAGTGGCGTCACTGGAAATTCAGGCAGTGGGATAGGGAATTCGAATGAGACTGGTAACAGTAACGGAAACGGAGCTGTAGCCTCGTTCGGCACTGCAGAGTACCCAGGCGGCGCAGGTGGCGATTCGTCTTTTACCATTGCTGCGTCTGTTGAGGCACCTCCGGCGGTTACTCCTGATACTTTATGGGAGGTCAGTGAGTATTAAGTGGAGGGAAGGGAGTCGACTGGAGCAGCGGGTGCTGAGCGTTGCTGCGCCAGCACCGTTGTTGCAAGCCTATACTATGCCTGTGCCTTTGCTCTGATCTGAACAGAGCAATTCGTTGAGATGAGATGACTTCATCATCGCTTGGCTTTTGAACCCACTGACGGATGCGTGTGGAATGTGGGGTGGGGGTGGGGGTGGGGATGGGGATGCTGCTGCCTGTCGCAGGAGCTGCTGCCGTGCATCACGTACCTCTCCCCCACGCAACTGCAAGTCGTCCGCCACGCCTTGAGAGTGAGTCAACTCTCACCTTACTGCTGTCAACTCCAGGGAACAAATGCCCCGCTGTTTGTTTCTTGCATGGAGTCGCCCTCTTTGCACGCTCTTCGCGCCCCCTTGCCCCTCTCTGTCACGCTCTGAACCTCTCGTCCCGCTGCTGCTGCAGCTGCATCTGCTTCCACGTTGCTGCTGCTACTGCTGCTGCTGCTGCTGCTGCACGTCTTGTATCTGAATCCCTTCTCTCCGCCATCACACCTCCTGCGCTCCTCCCCTTCCCTCCCCACCCTATGTGCGCAACCATAACGGCATGCTGTGTGTGTGGTCAGCTGGCGTACAGGGCGCATGACGGGCAGAAGAGGAAGAGTGGAGAGCCGTACATCATTCACCCCGTGGAGGTCGCCCGGATACTGGGGCAACTGGTGGGTTGGTGTTGTGTTGGTGGGTCACCGCATCTGGCACACACATGGATGTTTCACATATACGTAGCACAAGCACATGCGTACATGCATGCACGCATGCGCATATACATGCACATAACAGACGCTGCTACGGGAGAAGGCACCTCGCCTGTTGCACATTCCCCCTGTATCTTTCTCTCCCCCCCTCCCTCTCCCCTCCCCACCTCGCCAGGAGATGGACTGGGAGACAGAGGTGGCTGTGCTGCCGCACGACCCAGTGGAGGACACGGACGTGCATTGGCTTATCATGACACCTCTTCCCCCACTCAACTGCCCCCTCTCTTCCGTCCTCTCCTCATGCACGAACCCTGTATTACCTTTTCTCACCAGGAGATGGGGACTGGGAGACGGTGATGGTGGGGCTACTGCACGACACGACACCATGGAGGACATGGACGTCCAAGGTCTTATTGTCACGCTTCTCCCCACACCCGTCCCTCTTACCCCCCCTTATCCTTCCGTTCTTCCCTTGTGCACGGACCCAATGCTACCAGGAGATGGACTGGGAGACGATGGTCGCAGGGTTGCTGCACGACATGGTGGAGTACACGCCACGCATGGGCTTATTGTCACGCTTCTCCCCACACCCACCACTCTTCCCTCCTCTCCTTTCACCAGGAGATGGACTGGGAGACGATGGTCGCAGGGTTGCTGCACGACACAGTGGAGGACATCGACGTGCATGGGCTCACTGTCAGCCCTCTTCCTTCCTCTTCCCCTTGTGTTCTTTCCTCCCTCCTCCCCTTTTCCCACCAGGAGATGGACTGGGAGACGGTGGTGGCGGGGCTGTTGCATGACACGGTGGAGGACACGGATGTGGTGTCCTTCGAGCAGATCGAGGCCTCCTATGGGCCGGCTGTGAGGCGCATCGTGGAGGGCGAAACCAAGGTGCGAGGCTCAAGACCAAGGTACGAGGAGGGTTCAAACGAAACAAACAGTTTGAATGGGTGGAAGAATGCTGTGATGGATGGGTGGGTGGTGTTGTCACTGGTGGTGAGCTGCTGGGACTAATTCTTGTGGCTGAAGCTGCTGACTTTGGTGGTGCTGGTCGGATAAGAAGCTACTGGGTTCTTTACTTTCCCCACTTGTGTCTCTGGCAGGTGTCGAAGCTGGGCAAGGTGAAGGACGGTAGCAAGGCAGACGTGAAGGCAGACACCCCTCCCCCACACGGCCCCCTCCTGTCGCCCCCTCCTGTCGCCCCCTTGTGTGCGCCCCTGGCAGGTGTCGAAGCTGGGCAAGGTGAAGGATGGCAGCAAGGCAGACGTGAAGGCAGACGATCTGCGCCAGATGTTCCTCGCCATGACAGAGGAGGTGGGGTGTGCTTGGAGGTCCCTCAGAGTCATGCTCTGAGGCTCTGAGGTGCCATTCTCTTGATGGCACCTCCCTGGGTCACCTTCCTCCTTATTTGTCGTCCTGCTCAAGCACACGCCACATGATTTATTCCCTGACTGACCCCTTATCCCCCTAGTTGCAAGCAAGGTTAAAAAATATGGTCGTTTTTTTGAAATTGCTCTACGATTTCTCACAGGAGCCTATTATACGAAACCGTTTTTTACCGTAGCTTTTCAAAAAAACGACCGTATTTTTAATCCCTGGTTGCAAGTCCTTGTGATCAAAGTGAAGTTGGCAAACAGGTTGCACAACACATGTACGCTCACGCACCTTATGTGTGATTATGTCTCTTCCTTTTTCTACTCTCCCCTCCTCACAGGTCCGTGTGATTATAGTGAAGCTGGCGGACAGGCTACACAACATGCGCACGCTCACGCACATGCCGCCCCACAAGCAGAAGTACATCGCCATGGAGACCCTCAGTGTCTTCGCTCCCCTCGCTCGCCTGCTTGGAATGTACCACATCAAGGTGCGTGGTAGGGGGGTTGTGTGTGTTGTGTTGTGTTGTGTGTGGACTGTCAGCATGCATGTATGTTGCTGCTACAGCATGTACCACATCAAGGTGTGCCTTAGGGGGGTGAGTTGTGTGGGACTATTTGAACGCGAGTGAGCGCATGCTTCACCTCTGCACGCCTTTTGAAACATCTCATAATCCACCCACTTCCTCCCCCCTTCTCCCATCCACCCCCCTTCAGACGGAATTAGAAGACCTGTCTTTTCGGTACGCGTACCCTGAGGAGTATCTGGATGTGTCTGAGCAAATGCTGCACCTCTGCACAGCTTTTGAAGATGCCTCACCCCACCTTCTCTCTCCCTCTCTCATCCTCCTCCCATCAGACGGAATTGGAAGGCCTCTCATTCCGGTACGCGTATCCGGAGGAGTATCTGGACGTGTCTGAGCGAAGGCTGCACCTCTGCATGGCTTTGAGACGTTTCAGCACCCACCTTCTCTCTCCCTCTCTCATCCTCCTCCTTTCAGACGGAGCTGGAGGGCCTCTCATTCTGGTATGCATATCCAGAGGAGTATCTGGGCGTCTCTGAGCGCATACTGCACCTCTGCCCCATTTTCTGAGACGCACTTCAAAGGCCACCTTCTCTCCCCTTCCCTCGCTCAACATCCCTTTTCAGACGGAGTTAGAGGACCTCTCATTCCGGTACGCGTACCCCGAGGAGTATCTGGATGTGTCAGAGCGCATGCTGCACCTCTGCACGCAGCAACAAACTGCTCTGGATGAGGTCCGTATCAGCACTTGAAACAGATGAAATCAAATGGGGTCGGTATCAACATTAGACAACCTTGTCACCTGTAGCAGCATGCCTGTCTTTTTTCTTCTCGTATCTTGTCTAAGTACTTGCCGTTCCTTTCTCTCTCCCGCTCAGGCACGTGTAATGCTAGAGGAAGCGATGCGGAAGGACAAGTTTTTGGATCTCATGACTTCAGGGGCGAGGGTGGAGACTCGGTGCAAGGAACCATACAGGTGAGAGATGAGACAAGTAATGGAAAGACGATGTGACATGGCGCATGACGACTAACTGTACAGGAGTGGCTGTCCTTCGTATTTGATTCGTCCACATGCCTTCTTGCCATGCCCATGCCTCGCCCGCCCTTGTCTTGCCCTTGTCCTTACCTCCTCTCCTCACTCGCCTCTCCTCCCGTTTTTCAGTGCCTGCACTCCGGCCACCCTCACAGCACAGAATCACCTCAGTGCCAAGGTGGAGGAGACCTAAGAAACCTCTCAGTCATCTCAGACCCCATCCCCTCCCTTCTCCCTGCTCCCACCTCTCCGCTTCACCCCCTCCTCCCTGCCTGATTCCCATTCCTCCCGATCTTCCCCTCTCCCGTGCAGCATATTCAAGAAGGTGGTGGAAACAGGCGCCAAGGTGGAGGAGATCCACGAGATCAACTTCCCCTCTGCTTCACCCCCTACTCCCTCCCTCATCCCCACTCCTCCCCCTCTCCTCCCCTCACGTGCAGCATATTCAAGAAGGTGGTGGAAACAGGTGCCAAGGTGGAGGAGATTCACGAGATCTCGCAGATCCGCGTGGTGCTCTCCATGGACGATGCGGATGATCAGCCCGATAGCAGCTCACGGAACATCGCGCAGCAGGTGACCAAGGGGGGACTAAGGGGCGATGGGGGTACGAGGGAGCGAATGAGAGACGAGGGGGCGAAGGGGGGATTAGGGGGTAAAGGGGGGATTAGGGGGTAAAGGGGGGATTAGGGGGCGAAGGGGGGATTAGGGGGCGAAGGGGGGATTAGGGGGCGAAGGGGGGATTATGGGGCGAAGGGGGGATTAGGGGGCGAAGGAGGTACACAATGTCCTACCATGTATGGTTGGTTGGTGTAAGTTTGACGCGTCTCGCTTAAAATTTATTACTGTGCCATCCATCCACCCACCCCCCCTCTCATCCCCCTGCAGGTGTCCTACCATGTGTTGGGTCTCGTGCACGCCCTGTGGCGGCCTCTCCCAGGCACGGTAAGCTTCTCTTCTCCTTTTCACTCTGTCTCCTTCCATTCTGGTTCCTGCTGCCCTATGCTTTCTGGTGCTCACTCCCTCCCAGGCACCTCTCCGATCACAGGGCAGCACTACCACATTCTGCTCACTGCCGTGCTGCTGTGCCACCTCTCCGATCAACCTGCCCCTCGACGCATTCCCTCCCCCTGGCAGGTGAAGGACTACATAGCGACGCCCAAGCCGAACGGGTATCAGAGCCTGCACACCACGGTGCTGCCGCTGGGAGCATCCTCTCTCTTCCCCATGGAGGTGCAGATCCGCACCGACCACATGGACAAGCTCGCCAAGTGGGGTAACGCTGCTCACCACACCCCTCCCTCCCTCCCTCCCTTGCCCCGCTCGTTTCCCCCTCTGTATCCCTTTTTCCCTCCCTCCCTCTTTCCCTCCCTCCCTCTTTCCCTCCCTCCTTCTTTCCCTCCCTCCCTCCTCCCTCCCCCCTCTCCTCCTCTCCCCCTGGCAGGTAAAAGATTACATAGCAACGCCCAAGCCGAACGGGTATCAGAGCCTGCACACCACGGTGCTGCCGCTGGGAGCATCCTCTCTCTTCCCCGTGGAGGTGCAGATCCGCACCGACCACATGGACAAGCTCGCAGAGTGGGGTATAGCTGCTCACCACACCCCTTCCTCCCTCCCTCGCGCCCTTGTTCCCCCCTCCGTCTCCCTCCATCTCCCTCCCTCCCTCCCTCCCTCCCTCCCTCCCTCCCTCCCTCCCTCTCTTCCTCCGTCTCCTCCCCTCAGGTGAAGGACTACATAGCGACGCCGAAGCCGAACGGGTATCAGAGCCTGCACACGACGGTGCTGCCCTTGGGAGCATCCTCTCTCTTCCCTGTGGAGGTGCAGATCCGCACCGACCACATGGACAAGCTCGCCGAGTGGGGCATAGCCGCTCACCACACCGGCCGCCACCCGCACCTGCTGCTGCACGGCGAGCAGCAGGAGGGGCAGGCGCAGCAAGGGCGGAAGGGGAGGCAGGAGGGGCAGGGGCAGGTGAAGCAGCTAGCTGATGGGTCGGAGGATCTAGCTGGGTTGCTGCTTCCAGGCTTGGATTACTCAACCACAGATGATTCTGAGGGGGATAGCGACAGCTCAGGTAGTGACGACGAGCCGGGCCTTCCTCCTCTTGCCTCTACCATAAGCAGCGTTGCGGTGTGCGGGGGGGTGACTGAGACTCAGAGCAGCTGGAGCAACGACGCTGACGTGGCGAGGCGGGTGAGCTGGCTGAACTCGATTCGCGAGTGGCAGGAGGAGTTTGTGGGGGCGATCAGCGCGCGGGAGTTTGTGGATACGGTCACGTGCGACCTGTTTGGGTCGCGGATCTTTGTGTTCACACCCAAGGGGGAGGTGAAGAACCTCCCCAAAGGCGCTACTGTGATTGACTACGCGTACCACATCCACACAGACGTGGGCAACCGAATGGTGGCTGCAAAGGTGAGAAGAGAATCGTGCATTCTAGTTGAGGAGCGAAGCTGAGATGGGTGAGACGAGTCTGGCCATCCCTTGAGTCGTGACAGTGATAGAATACGTGTGCCACATTCACACAGACGTGGGGGCAACCGAATGGTGGCTGCAAAGGTGAGAAGAGATTCGTGCAATTTGATGGGTGACATGGGTGATGGCATGGGTGATGACATGGATGATGGCATGGGTGATGGCATGGATGATGGCATGGGTAATGGCATGGGTGATGGCATGGATGATGGCATGGGTGATGGCATGGATGATGGCATGGGTGATGGTATGGGTGATGGCATGGGTGATGGTATGGGTGATGGTATGGGTGATGGCATGGGTGATGGTATACATGATGGCTCAGACACTTGCAGCTAAGGCCATACTTGCTGCTGCCGCACTCTCACAATTGTCCTCTTCCCATCCTTCCATCCCCATCCCCATCCCTCCCTTCGAATCCCTCTCTCCGGGTCTCCTTCCCACTCTTCTCACTCTTTCCCTTCCTATTCCTTTTCTCCCCCTCTTCTCCCCTTCCCCTTCCCCCACTGCACCAGGTGAATGGAAACTTCGTCCCGCCCACGTACGCCCTCTCCAATGGGGAGGTCGTTGAGGTTCTCACATACAAGGTAAGTCGTGTGAGCCAACTTCTCATATATCGTGTAACTCGTTTCTTTACGCACTCCTATGATCGTCATGTTTTTGCCGATAGGGAGCACTGTGGTTCTCACATACAAAGTGAGTCGTGTAAGTCAACCCCTTAGCCTCTATTCTTTCCGTATCTGCTGCCCCCCTCCACAACACCCAAGCTCGCCTGTCTGTGCTTCACTTGCCTCTCCCACTCCCATCGTCCCCGCTTTCGCTTTCTTTCCGCAGGGCGGGTCGGGTGGCTCCCGTAAGGGCTTCAAGCAACGTCAGCAGTGGTTGCAGCACGCCAAGACAAGAAGCGCCAGACACAAGCTCACCAAGGTACGGCGAGGACTTGCAGGCTTGCAACGTGCAGTGCAGTCCTTGCGGAAGCAGGGTGTGTTGAAAGCAAGGTTTAGAAGGTCTCAAAAAGCTTATGCGTGTCTGCAAGCAATTCTATGATCTTTGCTTGCACGGTGCTGTATTTGTGGGAGCGGGGGCGCTGAAGGCGAACCCTAAAAGCGAGCAACATTGATGCATATAGTAATTACTCATGGATTTGTTTCGTCTGCATTGTGCAGTACTTGCGGGAGCAGGGAGCGCTGAATTCGCATGAGATCACGGCCGACAGAATCAACGAGTTTCTTATTGACCTGCAATCAGCTGACGCCCGCACTGCTGCTGGCAGCAGCAGCAGCAGCAGTAGTAGCAGCAACACTTTTAACAGCAGCAGCAGTAGTGGCAGCAGTGGCAGCGGCGGTGGTGGCAGCAGCAGCGTCTTGGCCGGTAATAACAACGGATCAGCTACTTGGCCTCTCATTTCGGATTCCATTCTCCCCACCAGCCAACCCACTCAATCACCCTCCATACAATCACCATCAACATCACTTCCAGTTGACTTCTCCCCATCTCCCACCCCCTCAGCCTCCCGGACACCTCGCTCCTCCCGCACCCCCTCACTATCCACACCATCCGCCACAACAACTGTTTCCCAGACTCTTAATAAAGGGAGGCAGGGGCGATCGGCAGTGGGAGAGGGAGAAGCAGGTACAGGGTCTAGAAAAGGGCGCTCAGGCGAAGTGGGGAGGAGCATAGATGGTACACTGGGTAGGAGAGAGGTGGGATTCGGAAGGGTTGGACTGGGGGAGGTGGGATCTGAGACAGGGTTGGCTGGAAGAGGGCATCCTGCTGGTGAAAGCAGCTCAGAGGTTTTGCAGTTTTCTGATGACGGGGCTGCTGCTGATGTGGCATCCACACGGCTGGCGGCGGGCGATGCTGATGTGTCGCTGGCTAGTGCTGATGTGGAGCTGTTGGAAGGCAGGAGCAGAGATGACGTGGACGGGAGTGGTGGTGCCGGGGTAGGGAGCAGAGAGGAGGGGGTAGATGAGCTAGTATCACGGCTGTTAGAGGGGGTGACAGGAGAAGCAAGGCTGGATGGAAGTGGGGGTGGTGGAGAGGCGAGTGTGGTGGGAAGAGGGAACGGAGAGAGTATCGGCGTGGCTCGTCCACAGGCAGTGGGCTATTCGCCACAGCCACAAGACAAGACGGGAGGGTCCGCAGCAGCAGCCGCGCCAGCAGTAGCAGCAGTACCGGAGCCAACAGCTGCAGGGCCCCAGGCAGTGGCAGCAGAAGCAGCAGGAGCCACTGCTGGGGCTGAGAGCATATCATTAGAGTCAGCAGGGGTGTCAGAGAGAGGGAGGGTGCCAGAGGGAGGGAGGGCGTCGGAGGGAGGGGGGGCGTGTGTGGATGCGTTTGCGGAGTTTGAGGAGTGGCAGACGCAGACCGTTGCCATGTGGCAGTTCCTGAGTGGCCGCAGAAAGGTGGTGCTGTGGCTGGCCGTGCAGTGCTATGACCGCACAGGTGAGTGCAGGAAAAGGAAAAGGTTTTTGTGCACTTCTGCTCTTTCTAAGCTCTCCCTCTTACCTGCACCCCTGTCCCGCTGCTGATTTTGTTTCCATGTGCGCCTGCAGGGATGCTGGCTGAAGTTTCCAAGATAGTGACCGAATCTGGCCTGCTCATCTGCACACATGCGGTAAGCTGGGCCTGCCACATGTGCACCTTGCAATTGCCCTCATGGTTTGTTTTTTTTTTTGTTTTGTTTTGTTTTTTTTTTTTTTTTCCACATTGCTTTCACCTATACGCTCTTGAGTACCTACTTCGTCTCTTGCTTCTTCAGTTTCTCTGAAATTTCCTTTGCTGTTAATCCTCGCTTGCTCTAATTACTCTCGTTTTTCATCTCTTCCCCACACCACCACCAACAGGGGCGCACCAACCAGGAGGCGGGCACAGGAGTAATGTTATTCGAGGTTGACGGACTGGACCCTGATTTTGTAAGTGCAATGCATACATCCGATCTGCTTCCCCGACCACCAAACCCCCCCCCCCTCCCCTCCCACCCACCCCCACCTCTTCCACTAATCTTCCCCCTCCCCAACCCACACTCTCTCTATCCCCTCTCCCGTTTCTACCTTATGACTTATCCATCTTGCTCTCCTCAGCTCACTGAATGACCTCTATGTATGGTGATTGTAGTACTGAAAAGACTCATGCAAAGGAACACAATTCAACCTCTCACCTGTCCTTGTGTGGATTGTTTCCATCCATCCTCTACCCTTGGGCCTGGCAATTACTGCTGTGTTGGCATGGGGTGGATGGCATGGCATGGCATGGCGTGGTATGGCATGGCAGGACGTGATAAGTGATAAGCTCCTGGCTGTGGATGGTGTTCTCAGCTTCGCCCTCGGCTGCACCCTCGCTAATTCCTCCCGCTTCTGGCCCTGGAGCAAGTGACATGGTGGGGGGAGGTGTGGTGCAACTGACATGGTTCAGGCCAGGCCTCTGGATAGGATTTGAACCAGTCTTTCTCATAAGGGTAACCAGCTGCTTTCACTCTTTCTGTAAGGGTACCAGGCAAGCACCACTCTTTTTTGTAAGGGTTAAAACCAAACTAAAACTTTTCATGTAAAATAACTAGTAGATTTTAGGCGTGACGACTTAGCACAATGGGTCTTTTAGTGAATGGGATGCGATATCGATACTTGTGGGAGGCATTTGGTGGGCAAAGTTGTCCATATGACTCGGTTTCTTCGAGCTACTTTACTGTTTGAGGAGGATGTACCGTCACCCCCCGGATATACCCCCATGGGGGGCAATAATAAAACAGGTTTTTTCAAGGGGGTGGGCTTATAATCGAGTAAATTTATAAGCGCCGGCGTTTATAAAATGACATTCATATTTTTTATATTGTTTAACACCAAACTGTAGGTCTCGTGCTTGCCCTTTCAATCGAGTCGAATTTACATGGGGTCGTCCGTGAAATTCTCGCGCGCGCTGGGAGACACACCCAATCTGACTCACATCCAGCTCCTGACAGCTCCTGCTGACTGGACCCGCATCCAGTGCAGGGTCCGAATGTGAAGGGAACCGAATCTGCAACATATCTGCCTGCTAAAGTAAAAATCATTACAACGTTTTGTACACATTTCAAATTTTAAAGTTTACGTGCGCTTATAATAAAACTAGTTTTTTCAGGGGGTGCGCTTATAATCGAGGAGGGGATATAAGCGCCATATGCCAATTAGAAGCGCCAGGCGCTTATCCTAGGGTGGCGCTTATATCCGGGGGGTGACGGTATGTTCCCGATCAATGCGACTGCACCACTTCACTCTGAAATATCAGGGTCCTAAACATATTCACTTTTTCCTGTAAGTGTCAGAAAAAAATCCACTTTGTAAAGTAAGGGTCCGAATCAGAACACACCCTTATAGTAAGGGTCATAAGGGTGATTCACCCTTATATCAAGAGGCCTGGTTCAGGCTGTGGGTGTAGGGGAGACTGGCCCCCGGGCACATGGGACATGCAGCAGAGGTGATAGCACTAGCTAGTCCTGAAGCAGTGACACAGAAGCTACTCTTGATCAAGGCGTTGTAGGGGGAAGGCATGATTCATCTCGTCTCGTGCCTTCCGAAATTATGATAGGGGAAAATAACCGCTGGAAAGTTTCCATTCATGTAGCTGATATGCAACTGAAGTGTAGAAGACGTGAGTGTTGTAAAAGTCGTGAACGATAGTTTCTAGGGAGGATATGTCACAAGTAACCATCACGGGACTCGATAAACGGGAATGGTGAAAAAGTAATGCGTACGTACGATCACTGTATCGGGTTTCTCACACGTTTGGTAAGTGGGGACACGGATTCAGTCACTAACAACAGGAAAAAAATCACGCGAATGTGTCAAGATAGCAAGACAAAGAGGCTGTTCACTATAGAGCGAGCGGTACAAATAGGCAAGAATCAAGAAAAGTGCACCACCAAACAGAAAGTTATATAACTACAGTATTCTACACTACACGCTGTTATAGAACTAAGTAGTATTCTGACGCGCCCCCACAAGTGCCTGTAGGGAAGAATGTGCAGTCAACGTCCCCATAATGGGGTTCACCAGACAGGGTGCAGCGAAAGAAACAGTAGCAGGCAAGAGCAGTAGTAGCCAGTGCAGTAGTGGCAGATACAGCTGTAGCACACCCCCCCAGCCAAGGTAGAAGCAGTAGCAGATGTAGGGGCGGCAGGTCGCCTGAGGAGCAGGCTCTGTGGATGCAACGTGCAGCAGGTTAGCAGCGGCTCGACGGCAGCACCTGCAGGCCCCAGCAGCAGACAACAGAAATAAGGGCAGGTGGCGGCAGGGGCGGCAACAGGAGGTGCCACGGTAGCAGCGGCCGGCAACTGCAGATGCCTGGCTGATTTCGCCACCCTCTCTTAACCTCCCCCCCACGGTAGTGAGAGAGAGAGGAGGGGCGGCTGCTGTCTTTGCAGAATCACTCTCACCATCTCCTGACACTCTCCCCGTTTCCCCTCATCCTCCCCCCGCAACCTCTCCCCCTCCCCCCCCCCCCCCCCACGACGGAATCCACGAAAGGGAGGGGGGGCGTGGGCTGTCGATGGCGGTGGCGTCCGCGCTGGCGTCGGCGTCGGGCGCTGGCGTCCGCGTTGGCGTCGGGCGCTAGCGTTCGCGCTGGCGCCAGGCGCTGGCGTCAGTCCTTGCGTTCGCGGCCAGGGGCGGGACGCAACGGACGGGATGGGCAGGGCGCTAACGGGGGGCCGAAACGAGGCCGCATTTGACGCCGTCGCGCAGCTCGTCATCACGAACGTGACAGACGAAAGATGCGCGACGGGCAGCACCAAGCAGGGAGCGACGGGGGGTGCCATGAACGAAGATAACGTGCAGGTCTAGGCGAACGAGGCTCTGGATAGTACCATGTCAAGATAGCAAGACAAAGGTTGTTCACTATAGAGCGAGCGGTGCAAAAAGGCAAGAATCAAGAAAGGTGCACCACCAAACAGAAAGTTATATGACTACAATATTCTACACTACAGGCAGTTAAAGAACAATATACTGAACTATATATTATTATGACAGAATGGTCATACATGTAACTCCCGCAAAAAATTCATGAAGCCGTACAAAATTCCCGCTCGTACCCAACCAATCATCTAACTTAAAAAATAAATCAAAACCCAATCGGAATCGGATGCGGTCTGGGAACGGATCAACCCTAAACACCTGGCGAATTGTGTTTAGGGCTGATTCATCCGAAAATGCATCCAGGTTCGTTCTGGTTCTGGGTATTATCTTTTTTGGGCGGAAGTTTCATCTGTGACTATTCACGTTTTTTTTACCAGTTGATAGTGACTGATTCCGTGAAACGTTTTATCAGTCGCGTGAAAACACCCTTTGCAGCGACCGTACCCTTTATTTTTTTTACCAAAGATGTTATCGAGTTCCATGATCGTTACCAATGGCATATTTCCCTAGTTTCTACCCCTAATTGTAAGATTCGCGATTGTGTATTTCGCCTACAGCCTTGTTCCCGAAACCTTGAAGCGAGTTCGGTGCTTCGAGAATCTCTCAGCCACCTTGAAATTATCCCAATAAATTTCTCGAGAACTGCTGGAGTCTGGTCATCACATTCTAGCCGCACTGTCCCCTTTCCCCCCGCCACTTCTTCCTCCGCCATGCCGCTTTCGCGCGCTTGCGCCTCCGCTCTCGCCCCCCTACCCGCTTCTTTCAGTTGCGCCAATTCGTTTCCGACATTCCTTCCGCGCGCTGCTGTGCCTTCCGCCGTTCCGCTCCGCATTTGCGCAACTCCCACCAGCCCAGCCACCTCCGCATTCGACGGTCGAAGCGCGCTTCTGCATCGCGCAACTAGCCCCGCGCAACGCGCATCGTTCCGCGCGCGTTCTTCCGCTCCGCGCGCAATGGCATCCGCGGAAGTGGTCCCCGCGGTGATAATCGGCGCGGGGCGCGTGGGGCAGGCGCTGGAGAAGATGGGCGGAGGGCGGGATGTGGTGGTGCGGCGGGGGGAGAAGGTCTCCGAAGGGGGGGAGGGACCGATTATCGTGTGCACGCGGAACGATGCTCTTGACGCGGTTGTTGATGCTGCGCCAGAATCCAGACGGCAAGGTAAGCTATTCATGGCTGAATTGAGGCGAGAAGGGACATTGGGATGTCCCCGAGGGGGGTGAAGGACGCGGAACGACGCTCCTGACGCGGTCGTGGATGCCGTGTCAGAATCCAGGAGGGAAGGTAAGTGGAGACGAGACAATTAGGGAGACAAAGTAAGCGGAGATGCCTGAAAAGGTGTGTGCACGCGGAACGACGCTCTTGACGCGGTCGCGGATGCCGTGCCGGAATCCAGGCGGCAAGGTAAGCCATAGATGCCTGAATTGAGGCGAGAAGGTACATAGAAATTGGTTGGTTACCAGTTGCGTCTCGACCCGAGACTAGGTGTTTAGGAGTCTAGGTGTCTGCAGGACGGCACCCAAATGCTCGTGTTCATTTCCTCCCGTTCCCCCGCTTTTTCCAGACCAGCCAGGGATCCAAAATGGCAATGCTGGATCCCTGGCTGGCCTCGAGGGGTCTCCAGGACGCCACGCAGGTGCTCGTATCGTGTACTTTGCCGTGGCCAAGGCGGGCTGCATGCTTGTGCATCAATGCGCTTTTCCCATTCCTTCCCTCCCACTTTCCTCGTCCTCCAGACGTGGTCTTCATTCAGAACGGAATGCTCGATCCGTGGTTGGCATCTAGGGGTCTCCAGGATGCCACGCAGGTGCTCGTGTACTTTGCCGTGGCCAAGGCGGGCGGGTGACTCGCGTGTTGATCACATCCCTCCCTCCCCTGCGGTTTCCTCTATCCCGCCTCCAGATCTTGTGTTCATCCAGAACGAAATGCTCGACCCGTGGCTCGCTTCTAGGGGCCTGCAGGACGCCACGCAGGTGCTCGTGTATTTCGCCGTAGTTAAGGCGGGATGCATGCTTGTTGGTCAATCCCCTTCCCCCTAAGTCCCTCCGCCTCCTTCCTTCCTCATCCTCCAGATCTTGTGTTCATCCAAAACGGAATGCTCGACCCGTGGCTCACCTCAAGGGGTCTGCAGGACGCCACCCAGGTTCTCGTGTACTTTGCCGTGGCTAAGTTTGGCAACATGCGTGTTTATCAAACCCCTCCCTCCCCCGGTTCCCTATACCCTCTTTCCAGACCTGGTGTTCATCCAAAACGGCATGCTGGATCCGTGGTTGGCATCTAGAGGCCTTCAGGACGCCACGCAGGTGCTCGTGTATTTCGCGGTCGCCAAGGCGGGCGACCCGCCCCTGGATGGCATCACGGACGTCAATCCCGAGGGGCTCACCGCTGCCACCGGCAAGTGGGCGGAGGCAGTTGCAGCTAGGCTCAAGTCTGCTGGGTTGAGCTGTAAGGTGAGAAATGAAGAGTGGTGGCGCTCCAACGAATCCACCAAATGAACACACAAATCCACATCAGCTGCTCCATCTGTCGCCGGCAGAAGGCCGACGGGGAGAGTACCTGCAGTCAAGGGTGCGAGAGTCAGGCCTCAGGAGGGAAAGGGACGGGAATATTTTTCTTCCACTTCTCATCTTCCAGCTGAGCCCAGACATTTTAAGCCGCACAGATGCAGCATCTATCCATTTGCCTGTGGCAGCAGTGAGCCCTTCGGGATTGACGAGATGCTAGAGACTCTACAGTAGAGTGTCTCTGATCATCCCCCCTCTCACCTTGCTGCTGAGCCCAGCTGATTTCAGCCTCACAACAACAGCCTCCGCCTACTTGCCGGAAGCAGCAGTGAGCCCCTCGGGATTGACGTCCGTGATGCCATCCAGGGGGGCATCTCAGAATCTTCCCTCTTTCCCCCACGACTGTCTTCCCAACTCCTCTTTCACATCAGCTGCTCTCCCCATCCGCCTTCTGCCAGCCACAGCTGGAGAAGCTGATGTGGATCTGCGCGTTCATGCTGGTGGGGGCGAGGAACGGCGGCGTCACCGTGGGGGAGGTGGAGAGTCAACACAAGGAGGCCGTGACTCTGCTGATCAACGGCCTCCAACACCACCCCTGCCCACCTCCCCCCCCCCTTCCCCTTCCTGTGACTCTGCTTATCAACCCCGCCTTCCGGCTACCAATGCACGCAGGTGCTCTCCCCATCAGCCTTCCGCCGGCCTCAACTGGAGAAGCTTATATGGATCTGTGCGTTCATGCTGGTGGGAGCGAGGAATGGCGGCGTCACCGTGGGGGAGGTGGAGAGTCAACACAGGGAGGCCGTGACTCAGCTGATCAACGGCCTCCAACACCACCCCTGCCCACCTCCCCCCCCCTCCCCCTTCCTGTGACTCTGTTTATCTACCCCGCCTTCCGGCTACCAATGCACGCAGGTGCTCTCCCCATCAGCCTTCCGCCGGCCTCAACTGGAGAAGCTTATATGGATCTGTGCGTTCATGCTGGTGGGAGCGAGGAATGGCGGCGTCACCGTGGGGGAGGTGGAGAGCCAACACAGGGAGGCTGTGACTCTGCTCATCAACGAGCTTGCGGCTGCTGCTGTGGCGGCTGGGGCTGTGGATGGGTTTGACGAGGGGTTGGTGGAGCGACTGTGTGCTTATGCTCGCTCAGTGGCACACTTCCCTACAGCTGTTAAAGAGGTAAAGCGCCATTTACAACAGCCATTAAGGAGGTACGGTAGCTGCTGCTGTTGCTGCTGTTAACGCTCCTGCTGTAGCGGCTGGGGCGGTGGATGGGTTTGACGAAGGGCTGGTGGATCGACTGTGCGCTTCTGCTCGTTCTGTGGCACACTTTTGAGTCGACTCAAAAGTCAACTCGTTTATGCTCGTTCTGTGGCACACTTCCCCACGGCTGTTAAAGAGGTATGGTTGCTGCTGCCGCTGTGGCTCCTGACACAGCACACGTTGTTCAATAGGTATGAGACATGGCTCCATGGGTGGTTCCACCCACATCGTGCCACGTCATTTGACATGTCTTATTATATGGCGTTGCTCCTTTCTATCCCGTGCCCCCAATGCTCCCGTGGCTTCCATTCGCCCCACGCCCCCCATGCTCCTCCGCATCTCTCCCATGATCATCACGCTCCTCATGGCTCATGCCATGCCACCCATCACATCTCCGCCATGTGCTTTATGCCTCTCACACGGCCCCTATGCCACTTCCCCCACGCCTCCCGTGCTGTTCCCTCCAGTTTGAGTGGCGCAATGGCTGGTTTCACAACATGTCAAAAGCTGCAGTGACAGCTGGCAAGCCGGACCCTTGCCCCCTGCACTCTGCTTGGCTGGCGGAGTTAGGGGCTGCCCCGCTCCCACAATGAGTGGGTAACGCATAGTTGCAACAGGAAATAGTAGTATATATTCTGATAAAAGAACTCTCAGGAGGTGTGAATGGTGCTCGCCAAGAGGTCGTTGCGAATAAATGAGATGGAGGGTATTGAGATTTGCTTTGTTCGTACTGATTGAGCTTGTTTAAAAGAATTTTCTGTACTTTTCTAAGGCAACTGTACTTATTCATTTTCAATGTCGGATGTGCTAATGAATGGTAGCTTTGTGGTTGTGGTCAGCAGTGCTGAGGCATTTGCTGGATTGCGGGTTGAAAAGCGAACATCGTTTGCCAATCAGTGGACCCCAAGATTGGCAATCCACGGCCCGTGGCCTCCGGAGTGCCACCTCACTGTTCTTTCCTGCTTACGTGCCTGGCTTTGATTCATCCCCCAGCCTTTAGGGCCCCCACAAACTTGCGGTATGGGTGACCAAGCCAGCTAGCGAGCCTCGCAGGGCTTTGAGTTGCGTGGTGCATCCCTCTCGTTGCGGAATCCATCGGACGGTTGATGTTGGAGCCTGATTGGAAACGGCTGTCACTTCAACGAAACCATCAAAACTAGGCAGCTTTTGCACGAGTGCTTTGCACTAAGCGAAGACTTCAGAAGAAATAACAGCTGGTCTGGTTCTCACCTTTGCTTGCAGTTTATTTCATTACATTTTATCGCAACCATGGCTGCCACCATGACCAGCTGCGTTCTTTCCTCCGCCGCGTCCCTCGCTGGCTGCCAAATTGCGGCTCCCCGTCAACAGCAGACTGTCAGGCGGTCAGTCGCCGCCGTCCGCTGCGAGGCGGCGTCATCGGAGGACAAGCACGTCGTGTCCCGGCGATCAGCCGCTGCTTTCGGCCTAGCTGCGCTTCTCGCTGCCATCCCCGCGTCTTCCGCTTCCGCTAAAGACATCCCTCTTTTCGGCATTAGGAGGAAGGCTGTTGAGGAGGAGCCCGCTGCTGCTCCAGTGGCTGCTCCCGCGGTTGCCTCGTCTCCCGCTGCTCCCGTTGTTGCTCCCTCCGTCGGTGTCCCAGTTACGTCAGAGAGCGACATTCCCGCTGAGACCCAGGCTGTCGCCGTTGCTGCCGTGGAGGTCGTTGCTGTGCTTACCGCTGGCGCCATCGTCAAGTCGGTGACTTCTTAAGAATGTCGATATATAAGAAAAATTCGTCTACCTATACTTTTTTTAATTATATCCCACTTCCACTTTGCGTTTTCGTGTGGGTGCTGAGGTGATCGTTTGGGATTCTACTAGGTGTTCTCGTCCCTGCGGCACGTTAGTCATAGGTACATGTTCCACGGCGCCTAGTGGCGTCGTCATTTTCAGCATGAGGCCACTATGGTTGGTTCATGTTGCCAGCAGTGACCAGTCCGGAAACCTACCTCTATCACATGTGTTATTCAAGGTTGTTCACCTGGTGTGCTGGAACATCTGGGGACAAGCACCTACCATATACTGATTCAGCCAGTAACTTGAGTTACAGAGGGTTGGCGTTGAATTAGGAGGGATTAAGATTAGAGGCTAGGTGATCAGACGTAAACATTGGCTAAGATGGTTTGGTTGAGCACGTATTGCTAAAGTATACTCCGCAACCTAGCCGACTAAATGCCGAAATGATGCTCATTTTAGAATGAAATTGTAGATCCTGTAGCATCTGAAAAAAACAACAAAATATCTTCTTGATGCAAACCTGCTGTGCAGGAAATGTACCACATTGACACTTTAAAATGAGGACCACTGAATCGTGTGCGACGGGGTTCTTGTTTCTTGGGCGGACCAGAAATGGAGGATTTGCCCAAATGACCAGAACCTCGGATTGTTCATAATCCGCGTCCCGACTTTCGAAACTATGGCGGATGTTCAGCCATCCAAGCCATCAGACGAGCCTGACGATGCGCAGAAGGTTGACGTTCAGCCGGTAGATTCAACGGCAGAAGCTGGTAAAGACGTTCCGGCAATTTCAGGCCGTGGATGGTTCTTCCTGGACGTGAACCAGCAGAATCAAGGGCCTTACCCAGAGGACCAGGTTCCCGGTACGTCTGCTCTTCTCCTCGATTCCCTTCACAGTTGTCGCTACTTTTGCCTTTGCTCCAGTCGCTAAATATAGTACCGCGGAAGGGTAATTGGAGGCCCAATCAAGACCCTCCTTAAAGACCCATTACACTGGAGACCGATTTTCAGAGTAACGAACAGAACGGTCGTACATTTGTTTGGAGATAAAGCTCCCTGAAATTCCGTGGTTACCCTTGTCTTGCTCTTTCCTCGCTTTCAGTATTAGTCTCCAATCTGTAACTCGTTATTAATACCTGTGACTGCTTTCAGGTCTTCTCGCGTACAACTATGTGACGCCTGAAACTCTTTTCTGGGCTGAAGGCTGTGCAGATTGGCTGCCCATAAAAGCAATTCCTGAATTCGCTGCAGCTTGCGCTGCTGGTGCCAGTGCTGCTGCATCTGAGGCAGCAGCAGTAGTAGCAGGAGAAGGAGCAGCAGCAGCAGCAGGGGTAGCAGCAGAGTCAGTGACAGCAGCAGGGAATGGTGCAGCTTCAGATGCAGCAGCAGGCACAGCAGGAACCGGTGGGGAACTCAAGGCTGGTAGGACTTGGCAATGGGGGGCTCCTGCTGGCGATGGGGGGAGGGGGAAGGGCAACGGGAAGGGGAAGGGGAAGGGGAAAGGGGTCGCGGATGGGGGAGGAGGGGGCGCGGAGGGCGAGGGGGAAGGGGGCGGAGGGGGAGCGGAGGATGAGGAGATGCGGAAGTTTCTGGCGGAGGTGAAACGGGCAGAGGCGGAAGCAGCTGCTGCGAAACGAGCAGCGAGAAAGAGAGGGCGGGTGGTGGCGGCTTTAGCCCATGGTGCTGATGCTGATATGGAAGAGGAAGAAGAGGAGGAAGAGGAGGATGAGGGGGAGGAGGAAGGGGAGGGAGAGGGAGAGGAGGGTGAAGAGGCAGGAGAGGGGAAGGGGGAAGGGAGGAAGGGGCAGGAAGGTGGAAATGAGGATGTGGAAATGACTGCTGGAGACGAACAAGAGCAACGGCAGCAGCAGGGGCAGGAGAAAGGGGAGGGGCAGGGGCAGCAAGGGCAGGGGCAAGCGGAGGAGGGGGATCCAGCAGAAGGGGATCAGTTTGAGGATGATGACGGCACGACATACCGATGGGATGCCCGCATGCGCGTGTGGGTGCCTCTGGTGAGTTACCCGCTCGATTGTGTCTTGCTACACTGCGCCTCTCCCTCTGTCTACCTTCCTCAGGATCCCCCCGCTCCCCTCCTCATACCCCTGCTGTTTCCATGCCTTGTTTTCTCCTGCCTTCTGGGTCTCTGCTGTCTTGTGTCTTCCAGGGGGAAGAAGGAGCAGCAGCAGCAGCAGCAGCAGCAGCAGCAGCAGCAGCAGGAGCAGGAGCAGCAGGGGCACCAGATGCAGCAGCAGGGTTACCAGGTTACGACCCAGAGCAGATGGTATTCGTAGAGGACGAGGAGGTTATTCCGTCTCTAGACGCTGTCATTGCTGCTGCTGTTGCTGAGAGGGAGCGAGCAGAGGCGAGCGAGGAGGAGGAGATGGGGGCGGGGCGAGGGGGGAATGAGGAGCGTGGGGGGAAGAAGTGGGGAAAGGGCGGGGAGAAGGAGAAGGGGAAGGGGAAGGGGTGGAAGAAGGGGGAGAAAGGAGGAGGGGAGGGGGGGAAGGAGGGTAGTGAGGGGAAGCATTGGGGAGAGATGGAAGGGGGTGGGAAGGGCAAGGAGGGGAGGAAAGGGGGGGCAGGGAAGAAGGAGCAGGGGGAAGAGAAGGAGCATGTGGAAACACGCAAGGAGCTTCAGAAGAAGGTCAGTGGGTGGGGTTGGTTAGCGTATAGGCTCGAACACGCACACAACTGCTGTGTTGTGTGCTCTTGATTGAAGTAGTGGTTGGTTCAAAAGGGCAAGAAAAGGAGCATGTGGAGACACGGAAGGAGTTTGAAAAGAAGGTCGGTGCTGTGTTGTGTGCTCTTGGTTGAATCAGTGGTTGGTTCAAAAGGGCAAGAAAAGGAGCATGTGGAGACACGGAAGGAGCTTCAGAAGAAGGTCAGTGGATGGGTGGTTGGTTCAGGTGAAGCTTCAAGTCTCACAGGTCACCTTGTGAAGCGCTTCCTTACATGAACATATGAGCATATGGGCCATGTATGAGCCATGTATGAGCCATGTATGAGCCATGTATGAGCCATGTTTGAGCCATGTATGAGCCATGTATGAGCCATGTATGAGCCATGTATGAGCCATGTATGAGCTATGTATGCATGCATCCTCCCTCTCTTGTTTCCCTCTCACCCTCTCCTCGGTCACTGGCCTGCCTCTTACCTTCTCCTTACACTCTGCTTCCTCTCTCCTCTCTCCCTCTGTTCTCTCCCTCTCCCCTCTCCCTGACCCCAATCCAGGTGGCCAACAACGAGCCAAACGAGTGGTTTGAGCTCAAGGTCAACACGAGTATGCATGTCACCGGCCTGCCTCTTACCTTCTCCTCCTCTCTTCCTTTCTCTCTTCTTTCTCCCTCTCCCCTCTTCCCTCTCCTTGTCCCCAATCCAGGTGGCCAATAACGAGCCAAACGAGTGGTTTGAGCTGAAAGTCAATACGAGTGTGTATGTCACCGGCCTGCCTCATGACACCGACGAGGACGAGGTGAGTTGCTGGTGAGGCGCCTTAGAGGCCAAGAGAGGGGTCCTATGAAGAGCCGAATGAGTGGCCAAGTGGTCTGAATGAGTGGCCAAGTGGTCTGAATGAGCTGATTGAATGAAGGTTAACACACAAGTGTTTACGTCACCGGCCTGCCTCACAATAGCAACTAGGACGAGGTGGGGCGCCTATAGCGAGTACAGGGTGTACCAGTATGTTTTGCCACTTTCGTGCCACTTGAGAGTGGCGTCACATATTCATATGGATGTACCCATTGTGAGAAAGATGTAAGAAGAGAGCGCGGTGTCAGCCCGCGCTGGTTGCGTCCGCGGCGTCCGCCCGCGCTGGTCGCGTCCGCGGCTTCCGCCCCCGCTGGTCGCGTCCGCGGCCGTCGTTCGTCGCGGGTGTGGCGTCCGCCCGCGATTAGGGTTTCATCGGTCGCGTTCCGACTGTTGCGCGGATCGTTCCGACGGTTGATGTGTTAGTGGGAGAGCGGGGAGAGCCGCGAGAGGCGGAATTGACCGTAGGAAGGAGGGAGGGGGGGCGCTGAAATTTAGCGCAAGGGGAGGGGGGGGCCGTGACGGCGTAGGGGCGCACTAGGCGCAAAGAGCGACGTAGTGTCGTGTGAGAGAGGGGGGGGCGTGATATAGCACGCGGTATGTACGGTCCTTAGGATCGTAGATGGTGTGAGCCGTAGTTGCTCTGATACCATGTGAGAAAGATGTAAGAAGAACCGATAGTTTCATTAGGAAGGGCATGGGTTTACATAGTAGAGCTAGGATGTAGGAGCCATGCCAACATTATTGGCCCCCACCAATAAGTTGGGTTGAGGAATTATTGGTGGGACCAATAATGTTGACCAAAAATGGGTCAACATTATTGGGGGTCCAATAATCTCCCAACCCAACCTTGGGGGCCCAATAATTGGGTCAAGGTTGGGTTCCAACCTCAAACTAGGGTAAACCCTAGTTGTGCACCCAAACTAAGTTTGGGTGCCTATCTCTAACCGAAGCTTATGTGATGATGCAGGTTACAATGAGGATGATAATCTGACACCCATGTGTGTGTGGTGCTTCGTGTCAGTGCCACTGCTATAGGCGTGTGGTGGATATTCATATGGAGAGTGGTGCTTCGTGTCAGTGCCACTGCTATAGGCGTGTGGTGGATATTCATATGGAGAGTGGTGCTTCGTGTCAGTGCCACTGCTATAGGCGTGTGGTGGATATTCATATGGAGAGTGGTGATTCGTGTCAGGGCCACTGCGTTTGCCCTTAACTTCTGCTTCTTTTCTCCGATTCTGGTTTCCTTGTACGGCAGGTGGGGGAGGTGTTTTCCAAGTGCGGGCTTATCAAAGAGGTCAGAAGAACCCATTGCATCAAGCATTCCCTTTTAAATACGGACCAATCAAGAGGTACGGATAGCACTAAGGGGGTATACGTTACGATTCGGCCGGCTGATTGCCTCCTGCCCATTGCGTCCGTCTCCTTTCTCTGGTCCTGGTTTTTCCTGCTTTTTGTCTACCTTTGTTTGTCAGGATCTGGACACGGGCAAGGCACGGGTGAAGCTGTATCGGGACAAGGCAACGGGCGAGCTCAAGGGGGATGGGCTCATCACATTCCTCAAGGTGAGTGCCAGTTGCATTGGTCAAGGTGAAGCCACGAGTCCAGGACTTGGATTAGAGGACCCTGAAAAGGCGTCACACAGAGGCTTCGGTGCGGGTGAAGCTGTATCCATCAAGAGTCATCGGGATAAGCCGACAGACGAGCTGAAGCATGTATCGTCACGAGGTGAAGGAGGATGTACCCATCAAGACTCATAACCTTCCTCAAGGTCAGTCGATTCATACTCTTCAAGGTGAGTTCCGGTTGCATTGCTCAAGATGATTCTGGTTGCATTCCATTTCTCTCCACTTATATTGGAGTCCCTTTTGATTTCTCAAAGTGGTTTGATTTCGATCAGCATCAGAAAGCCATGAGTCCAGGATTTAAACCTCCCTCTTTCCACTTCCCTCTTTTCCCCTCTCTCCCCCCCATTCTCCCTCTTTCCCACTCCAGCCGCCTTCAGTTGACCTAGCTCTCAAGATTCTGGACGGCACTCCTCTGAGACTAGGAGACAAGCAGCCTATGTCTGTGACTCTGGCCAAGTTCGAGCAGAAAGGTGCATGGTGGTGATGGTAGGGTAGTGAAGGCCGTTGCGAGCTGCAAGGTTCATCCACTCTGTTGCTACCCCACGTTATCTAAAACCTCCCTGCTTTTCCACGTCCCACCAACCGTGTTCCCACCTCACCCACGTCCCTATCTCCCTTGCCATTCCACCGGCCTCGGTCTGCCCCACCAGGCAATGTGTTTGTAAAGAAAGCGAGTGACAAGAACAAGAAGAAGAAACTCAAGAAGCTCGAAGCGAAGGTGCTCGGATGGGGTGAGTTATTACTTTTTTCCCTCCATTACACCACACTTGCTCCTCGGAATCCCCTCCACCCCCATTTCTGAACCACATGAGAGTGCCAGAATTTTCACATGGTCACACGGGTTGATGTGCCTTGTGCCTTCACCACCCCTTTCTCTTGTCTCTTCTCTGCCCCTCCCAGGCGGATCCGACAACGCCAAGCACACCTTGCCCATGACAGTGGCGCTCTTCCGCATGCTCACTCGCGGCGAGGTGGTCAATGACCCCTCCTTGATCTCTGAAGCCCTGTCACCTGACCCTCTTTCTCCCTAACCCTTCCCACCCTTTCAGGCGGATCAGACAATGCGAAGCACACCCTGCCCATGACGGTGGCGCTCTTCCACATGCTCACTCGCGACGAGGTGGTGGTTAATGTTCCTTGTGCGTTTCCCATCCCCCTCTCTTTCACCGATACCCTTTCAGGCGGATCTGACAACGCCAAACACACTCTCCCCATGACGGTTGCTCTCTTCCACATGCTCTCTCGCGACGAGGTGGTGAATGACCCCTTACTGATCTCTGAGGTGGTTAACCACCCCTCACTGGTCTTCCTCTTGTGTTCCCTGATTCCCTTCCCCTCCCCTCCCAGGCGGATCCGACAACGCCAAGCACACCCTGCCCATGACGGTTGCTCTCTTCCACATGCTCACACGCGACGAGGTGGTCAATGACCCCTCACTGCCGGTGGAGCTGGAGGCGGAGGTGCGCGAGGAGTGCGCCAAGATGGGGGTCGTTGAGAGGGTCAAGGTATGTGCTACGATACCACATGCTCACTCGCGACGAGGTGGTCAATGACCCCTCGCTGCCCGTGGAGCTGGAAGCAGAGGTGCGGGAGGAATGCGCCAAGATGGGCGTGGTTGAGCGAGTCAAGGTGAGAAGAAGGTTCAGGATTTGTGGTTTGGGGTTCAGGGTTTGTAGTCAACTAGTAGGTACGTCAGGTATCAGGAGTAACCCACTCACCCACACCCACCCACGAGCTGGAAGCAGAGGTGCGGGAGGAGTGAGCCAAGATGGGGGTGGTGGAGATAGTGAAGGTGAGGCAAGGTTCTGGCCAGCTCAGAAGTCACTTTAGATATCAGCAGCAGTCACAGCCCACCCACCCCGTCCGGCCTTTCGCTGCCGGTGGAGCCGGTAGCTGGGTGTTTTGGAGAATTCTCAAAAACACCCTGCAGCGGGGGTGCAGGAGGGATGTGCCCAGATGGGCATCGCAGAGAGAGGTAAGGTGAGCGGAATGATACTACCAGGTACCAAGGTTTCTGTTTCCCTTCTCTTGAAGGGTGGAACCTCCATCCATCACCAAAACAGGGAGGTTCCTGTTTTACTGTGTCTGTTGGGATAAGGCACCCGTTTCTACTCTGCCTTGCCCACACCGTCCCCTGTTCCCCGCCTCTTCTCCTGATAAACCTCCGTTATCATTGTCCTTGCCTACTCATGTCATCAGGTGTACCCCAATCATCCAGACGGTGTAGTGACAGTGAGGTTCAAGGACAAGGCAGCTGCGTTCAAGTGCATAGAAGTCATGCATGGGCGATGGTGAGTGGGTCCTGAATGGCAATGTTGAGTGGTGAAGAGCGATGGTGAGTGGTGACAGTGAGGTTCAAGGACAAGGCAGCTGCTTTCAAAGTGATGCATAGCCGATGGTGAGTCGTGAGTGGGTGATGGTGAGTTGTGAGTGGGTGTTGGTGAGTCGTGAGTGGGTGATGGTGAGTCGTGAATGGGCGATGATGAGTCATGAATGGCCATTGGTGAGTCATTGTTTGGTTGTTGCATTCTCTGCATATTGTGCTGCATGAGAAATCTCGTGAGCCCTGTGCATGCCTTCCCTTCCCTTTCTAGGTTTGGGGGCCGGCAAATATCAGCGGTTGAAGACAAGGGTTTGGTTAATTGGGGGCTTGTGCGGGACGAGGAGGAAGAGGCAAGGAGGTTGGAGCAGTTCGGGGAGGAGTTGGAGGCAGATGAGAAATAGTGTAGCATACAGTGAAATTAAGTGCTGTAGTGAAGAAGTAAGATTGAGAAATAATAATAATGAAAATAAGGAGGGCGAAGTGGTCGTATGCCCACTTGGTGAGATGTCCATCATCAAGCCACAATGCGTTTGGAGTTGAATTTGAGCCTTCCACAGAAAATGTAGTACATGTGAGCATACTTTCTCCAGTTCAGCTTCACCCTCGTTAGATCTTGTACCGCGTACAATGTGACCACTGACAAATTCAGATTTCGGTCCTCTTACTAGTCTTCGATTTGAAACTGACATGCAGAGAATTCAGCTGCAGGTCTAGACATTTCCGTAGGCAAAAGACGGCTAGCAGGCAACCATGCCGGCCATCACTCGCGCGTCGTTAAACCGCGTGGACGCGGCCGGCGTGTGGTTCGACTGCAACGACGGCTTCGCGCTCCGCGTGACCCCCGTCGCGCGCAACCTCTTCCGCGTGCTCTTCCTCCGCCCCAGCGGCCTCCGCGAGCCGCGCACATGGTCCGTCTGCTGCGGCCGCACGGACGCGGAATTCGCATCTGTATCGGTGCCATCTGCATCTGTAGCGGCGCAATCCGCAGCGGAATCTCCTTCCGCAGCAGTAGCAGCTGGTGCAGGGGTAGCAGGCGCAGCAGCGCCAGGCGCACCACGCGCGTTTCAAGTGCCGTTCACAGGCGATCTCCCGCAAAGCCCGCTGCTGCCATCACCGCACGATCCCCCGTGGGAGGGTTACGACCGCCTGAACATCCCCTTCGCGCCCATAGATTTCTCCGTAGAAGAAACTACAGTGACGCTGACAGAACAGGGCACTCTACCGCAATCAGGGAGCACTATAACGGAGGCTACAGCGGCCCAAGCTCCTGCCGTGACCATCCGCTCGTCGCAGCTGATCCTGACCGTCCGTTTGGAGCCGTTTCATCTCTCGTGGGCCGTTCCGAGCAGCACCGCATCTGCAGCCGCGACCCGGCTTCTACCGGGGACAAAAACGGTCGAAAACAGTCGCCCTGTCGTTTTCGCAGAGGACAGGGAGAGCTGCCCGTATCGCTTTTCTGACCGTTCCTTCGCGTTTGAACACGCCATGAAACGATGCCCGCCCTCCCCTGCCAATGCAGATGCCGCTTCCACTGCTGCTGATGCCACTGATGCTGCCACTGCTGATGCTGATGCTGATGTTGCTGCCACAGCAGCAGCAGCAGGAGGCGATTTTTACTTCGGTCTGGGCGACAAGACAGGTCCTCTCAACCTCCACTCGCGCCGCCTCGCTATAGGCATGCGCGACGCGCTCGGCTTCGACCCGTTACAAGGCGATCCCCTTTATAAGCACTGGCCGCTGCTGCTGACGCGCGACGGGCGCACGCGCGTGTGCTACGGCCAGCTGTACGACAGCCTGGCAGATGGTGCTGACGTGGACTTGGGGTGTGAGAACAGCAATTATTACGGGCCGTACCGGGTGTGGATGGGGAGGGACGGGGATTTGGATATGTATATGGGTGTGGGACGGGGGGTGAAAGAGGTGATAGGGACCTTCTCTAGGCTAATGACTGGTGGGGTGAGAGAGAAGGGTGGGGAAAGAGGGGATGGGGGTGGGGAAGGGGAGGCAGAAGAGAGGGGTAACAACGAATGCAAGCAGCAGCCGTCACTGCCACTATCAACGTCAACATCAGCACCACCAGCATTGCCATCACCACCACCACTGCCACGAGCCGTAGGGCCTGCTCTGATACCACGGTGGACCCTGGGCCTCCATCTCACCGCCATGCCGCTAGCCGACGCTCCAGATGCGCAGGCGCGCATCTCCCGGTTCATCTCAGCCGCCCGTTCCACCCACATGCCGGTCAGCGCGTTTCACTTTGGTTCGGGTTACACCATGATCGGCAAGCGGAGGTACGTTTTCCACTGGAACTTAGCTAAGTTCCCGGATCCGCAGGGGCTTGTGGCGGAGATGAGGGCGGCTGGGATGCGGGTGGTAGCAAATGTAAAGCCTTGTATGCTGGTGGACCATCCGAGGTATGCGGAGGTGGGTGGGAAACATGGGTTTGTTTTCTTGAGTGAGGATGCAGCGGCAGGAGATGCAGATGGGGTAAAGGAGACAGGAGGAGCAGGGACAGGAGGAGCAGGGACAGGAGGAGCAGGAACAGGAGTGAATGTGGCAGGAGGAGGGGCTGGAGGAGGGGCAGGAGTAGGGGGAGGGGGAGGGGGAGCAGGAGCAGCAGGGACAGAGGAGGAAGCGGAGTCTTTTCCAAAGCCAAGTGCAGCAGAGCCGCCAGCAACAGCTGAATCTAGACCGCCGGCTATAAGCCAGTTCTGGGACGGGCTGGGAGCTCATCTAGACTTCACCAACCCAGCCACCATAGCCTGGTGGCAGGCCAACATGCAGCGAGCGCTGCTAGATGTTGGTATAGAGACCGCGTGGAATGACAATAACGAGTATGAGATCTGGGAGGAGGATGCACGCAGTCACATGTTCGGGTGGCCCGAGCCTCTGTTTCTGCATCGGCCGATCCACGCGCTGATGATGACCCGCGCCTCGTTCGAGCAGCAGGTTCGGGCCGAGCCTGGCCGGCGACCCTACTCGGTTACCAGAGCTGGGGGATTCGGCATTCAGAGATACGCACAGACCTGGTCTGGGGATAATTCCACTAGCTGGAAATCACTCAGGTACGGAGATCATTAACATTTCTGTTAGTCTGATGCAGTTTGGCATTCAAGTATCAATAAGTATGAACCTTCATGCGTGGTTCTTGTAATCACTACCATCCGTTGTTGGCTTCTTCCATATTCCCTTGTTTTGCAATGGGGTTATCTAGGCCTCTTCAACTGCGGTCGCAACATCCGTGGGCTTCGCTTGTCTCACCCTGCCCCCTCATCCCACCTGCCTTCCCCCCTCTCTTTAATATTTGTGGATATCCAGGTGGAACCTCCGCCTAGGCCTCTGCCTCTCCCTCTCCGGCCTCTTCAACTGCGGCCATGACGTCGGCGGCTTTTCCGGACCTCCTCCCGAGCCTGAGCTCCTGGTTCGGTGGGTCCAAGCCGGCCTGCTGCACCCGCGATTCCTCATGAACAGCTGGAAGCCCGACGGAACCATCACCTGCCCTTGGATGTACCCCGAATCGATCCCAGCCGTCCGTTGGTCCGTGCGGCTGAGATACCGCCTCATCCCCTACCTCTACTCTCTCTCCTTCCGAGCTTCTTTTTTCCACGAGCCGATGATCCGCCCGACTTTTTATGATTTTCCTGAGGATGACCGACGCTGGAGGGATGGGGATGAGCTTATGGTGGGACCCATGCTGCTTGCAGCCCCAGTGGTCGAACGCGGGGCACGCCAGAGAAAAGTTTATTTGCCCGGAGGGCAACCCGGCAAGAAAAATACAGCATGTTTCTCTGAAGCCGAGGGGCTGATGGCTGGTTCAACCCCGGCCCCGTGTTCGGGCTGGTTTGATTTTTACTCGGAGGAGTTTTTCCTTTCCGGGCAGGTTGTGACAGTGGCGGCTCCGCTTGACCGAGTGCCGTTGTTTGTTCGGGCAGGTGGGATAGTGGTGATGACTGAAAGTACGGTGGATTTCAGTAGGTTGCATGATGAGGGGTCTAGGGTTCTCAGGGTGTTCCCTCCCCCTGTGGGTCCTCCTGCTAGTGCTGCTGGTGGTGGTGCTGGTGGTGGCGCTGGTGGTGGTGGTGGTGGTGCTGCTGCTGCTGCTGCCCCCGGTGCTGGCACAGCTGCTGGAGCTGGAGCATCTGGTGAAGGTGGTGGGGAGAGCCAGTGCGTCTTGTACGAGGATGACGGGGAGACTCTTAAAGGGGATAGAGCAGAGGTGCATGTGTGCATGCAGTGGGATGCACAGAAGGTGGTGGTGACTGTAACGATCGTGCATGTACAGGGGGGGAGTGGGGGAGAGAGTGGTATGGGCAGCAGAGAGGAGAGCAGCAGAGGGGAGAGCAGCAGAGGGGAGAGCAGCAGAGGAGGGGAGAGCAGCAGAGGAGGGGAGAGCAGCAGAGGAGGGGAGAGCAGCAGAGGAGGCGGGTACAGAGTCCCCTGGGAGACTCTCAAGGTGGCTTTACCAGCTGCAGATACACGTGAGCTGGTGATTCAGTGGGGGGATGGAGGGGGAGGAAGCGAGGTGGTGAATGATAAAGGGCAGGTGGTTGCAGTGGAGAAGGGGGAGTTTGTCTGGCACTTGCTATAACACAGTGGTGGTGGGGTGGCCAAAGTGTTGATTACTTTTATGTGCTGACCAGCTTGCCTGTAGAATACCGTAGTTGCTACAAACGGTAAATGAATCAAGTGTACCTTACTACACCCAACTATGAGTTTGTCACTGCACTCCAAGAGTTTATGGCTGCTTCATGCTCCCACATGTAAATTATACAGTAATGCCAAACCACAGTACCAGTAGCTCAATTGATGTACAATAAACAAGCTTCGTTAAAAGGAAATAGAGATGACAAAAACACCCTACCCAAGTCTTCTTCCTCACACCCCTCTCCTCTTCCCTCAGCTCCTATGCCTGCTGCCGTATCTATCTTCTCCTCGTCCTTCTGCTCACCCGCTCCACCTCTCTCACTCGCCCTGCCCGAACCGGCCTCACATCCCTTTCTTCCTCCTCCTCTACCTCTTCTCCCTCTTCCTCCTCTTCCTCCTCTCCCTCTTCTCTCTCCTCTCCCTCCTCTTCTCCCTCTTCCTCCTCTCCCTCCTCTCCCTCCTCTTCCTCCTCTTCCTCCTCTTCTTCCATCACTCGTCCTCTCACTTTCCTCTTCTCTCTTGCTCTCTTTTGTATGGCCCCGTTCCCCCTACTCCTCCCCCTCCGCTCCTCCTCTTCCTTGCCTCCCCCTTCTCCCCCCTCTATCCCTCTCTCTCCGTCTCCAATATCCTCCTCCTCCTCCCTCTCCTCTTCCCTCTCCTCCTCTCCCACTATCCGCTTTCCTGCCCGCCTCCTCCTATCTGCGCCCCCCCCTCGTCCAGCCGCTTGGGATTGGCTGGGTGGTGCAGGTTCGTCCGCCCTGGAAGGCCAGGGCGCATCGCATTGGGGGCACTTGGGATTCTGATGGGGAGAGAGGGAAGGAAGAGGGGCGTGGGGAGAGAGAGAAAGAGAGAGATGGGTGCGGGGAGAAGTAGGGGAGTTTTGGGGTGTATCCTCCTATCTGTTCCTCCTCTGCCAGCTGCTTGGGTCTGGCTGGGTGGTGCATGCTCGTTCTCACTGGAAGGCCAGGGCGAGTCACACTGGGGGCACTTGGGATTCTGGTGGGAAGAGGAGTGGGAAGGAACAGAAGATCAATGGGCAGAGGAGTGGAAAAGCGAATGGGGAGAAAAAAGAGGCAGGTTCTGAGAAATAACCGACCCACTCGGCTGACTTTTGAGTCGACTCAAAAGTCAGAAGGGGAGAAGATGAGGCAGGTTCTGAGAAATAACCGACCCACTCGGCTTCACTGAAAGCAAACAGCACTGGGGGCACTCATATCAATTCATTCTATCCAATGACACCCCGTTGACTTGCGTTGACCCACCTTGACTCGATGGAACTTGGCGGGCATGCAGTACTGGTGCAGGTGGTATTCACAGCCCGGGGACACACAGCACACAGCCTGGAGCGAGGGAAAGTAAGATGAAAGAGACCAAAACGGATTGAAGTGAAGATAGTAATGGTGCAGAGCAGTGCTTCAGAGATATTTTTTAGGCGCCTCAATCAAAACCACTTTTGCAATCACACAAAAAAGATGGCAGCACTACTTACACTCAGACTCACTTTCACAGCAGCATCGTGGCACACATCGCGCACCACCACCCCTTCTACGCTCTTCAGATACTGCTGTAGATCACACTCACCCCCAGCCACACACTTTCATGCCCCCTGCTACAGTTGCTATTGCCTTCCCATCCCACACCACTCACCTTCACACCAGCGTCGTGACACCGCCACCCCCACACTCCCTTCAACCCCACACTCCCTTGCACCGCCACCCCTTCAATGCTCATCAGATACTGCTGCAGTTACTATGGAGGCACCTTGTGTGATGATTCGATTAAAAAATCGACTCATCACGTTCGGATAGTGCTGCAGCTATTATGGAGTCACCTTGAATCCTCAGAAGTCACTCTTTTTCACAGCAGCATCATGACACACGTCACATACCACCGCCTCTTCAATGCTCTTTCAAGGAGTCAAGCTGAGCACCCCAATCCAAGACACAGTCACAGGAACACTTCAGCATTCCAGCATTACTCACCTTCACAGCAGCATCATGGCACACGTCGCACACCACCCCCCCTTCAATGCTCTTCAGATACTGCTGTAGCTCACACTCAATCCCGTTTTTGAGGCGCAAAAGTAGACGCACTCAACCCCCCAGAACCACACTCCCTTGGACTCCCCTCCTCCTGCCACTGTTACTAATGCCATCCCCATGACAAAACACTCACCTTCACAGCAGCATCATGGCACACGTCGCACACCACCACCCCTTCTATGCTCTTCAGATACTGCTGTAGCTCCAAATACGTTCTCACGCCCAGACCCACACTCCCTTGCACCCCCCTCCTCCCACCACCACTACCGCTACCACCGCCGCCACCGCTGCTGCTGCCGCCGCCACTACTGCCATCTCTTGAATCACTCGAGACGCTGAGCCAATGGTTGTCCGCCAGGTCAGCGATCAGTCGCTCTTTGTCAGTTAGTGAGAGGGTGTGTGTGCGGGCGGCAGGCGGGGAGAGGGGAGGTTGCGAGGACGATGGGGAGAGGGGGTCTTGAGTTGGGTTGGGCTGTATGGGTGGGGAGAGGGATTGGGCAAATCGTGGGGAAGAAACGGGAACGGGAAGAGAAGAGGTGGAAAAGGGTGGGAAGTTAATTAAGAAAAGGGACGTGATCCATGGTCCAGGAGTAAGTGGTGTGCAGAGCATGAGGGAGGGGGGATGGGAGGCAGTGTTTGAGACAGAAGAGAAGGGAGAGGGATGCAGGGGAGGGGAAAGGAGCGAAGGTGGCCTTGTGACACTGCGAGGGGTGCACCAGCAGGGACACCATGTGCAGTTCGGAAGAAAGCGAGGGTAGGTACACTGCGGTAGAGGGGAGTGGGAGAGGGGAGTGGGAGAGGGGATACCTGGGAGGAACTGGGGGCAGGGGTGAGGTGCAGCGCTGCGATGCTGGAGATGCATCCTGAGCCGTTGGATGCGGTTACCACGTGCTCCACCAGGCATTTGAAGTACTGGATCTCCTCGTGGCTGTACGTCGTGCCCAGCTTGCCCTGGCTGTCTGCCGCCCGGTTGACCACTCCGTACCAAAGCCCGCCGTCCGCCTGGTCGGCTGCCGCCCGCAGCTCCAGCTGCAGCAGCGACAGGGCGGCGTTGATTCGACCGATGGATGTTAAAAAGTCCTCCTGGGGTGTGGGATGCGTGAAGGGGATGTGTGGGGAGGAGGGGAGAGTATGGTATGGTGCGAGAGCCGGTGAAGGGGGTTATGACAGCTGCAGCTGCGAGAGGGCGGCGCTGATTCGCGCGATGGAGGTGAGAAAATCCTCCTGGAGGGTGGGAGGGGGAGAAGGGGAGAGATCGGTACGGTATGGAATGGTATGGTATGGATAGGTAGGGAGGCCGTACAAGGGGGTACAAGAACTGCAGCAACGAGAGGGCGGCGTTGATTCGACCGATGGAGGTAAGAAAATCCTCCTGGGTGGTGGGATGTTTGAAGAGAGCGGGGAAGAGGAGGGAGGGGGAGAGAGGGGGGGGGGGGGGAGAGAGGGAGGGGGGGAGAGAGGAAGAGGGGGAGAGAGGAAGTGGGGGAGAGAGTGGGAGAGGGGTGGTATGGGATCCAGGAGAAGGGGGTTGGAGATGCAGTAGCGAACGGGCGGCGTTCATTCCCCCGAAAATCAGCTGTGCGGAAAATCACCTGCCTGCGAGTCGCCGGCGACGGAGGCCCAGATGTCGCGATGGAGCTTCTTCGCATGAGCCTCCTTGGCGGGCCCGCGACTCATGAGCGACTGCACCAGAGCGTGGTGGCGAGCTTCGAGAACCATTGCGACGGAATGCGGCGAGATGCGACGGGATGCGACGAATGCGACACGGTCATGCGACGGACGTGGTTCAATGCGAGAAAGTATACTAATCCTTAGCCTGACGGAGGTGAGAGGGTGCTCGACTCATCGGGTGACTGACAGGGCGTGGTAAAGCGAGCTCCTTGCGCGCCACTTTTTGCACCATGGCATGGCGACGCGATGCGACACTAGGCGACGGGATGCGACGCGGGACGGCGACGAAACCCAGGAGTTCCCGAAGCAAAATTTCCTGAGAATTCGCAGCACAAAAGCTCAAAATCAAAATTTCAAAACTGAATTCGCTAGAGGGTACGCGTCCTACGTGTAGGTCAGAGACTGTAGAAAACAAATATTCTCTACACGCTAAGGTATGGAGCTGTAGATTCAGTATCTTACACTCACAGCGTCATTTCACATCACATCTTGAAGGTGAATGCATTCGGGTAAAGTATCCTGACTTGCTCCCACATGAAGCATACAAAAAAATGATGAAAATCTAAATCGTTGTTGTGCAACCAACCCGCATCCAGTCCAGTCACTTGAGCGAAGCGTAAATATTGTTGACAGCTTGTGAAAGCTCCTTCACTCGCTTTTCAATGCTGCTCCGGTGCTTGTCGTGTAGCCGTAACCCCCACTTCTGCATAAACTTGTCTGCATTCCAGAGAACAAAGCGATAGGGGGACACAAAATTATTTAATAATGTATTCCTGTATGTGTCATAACCAATGGCATGTACGAAGGTGCCATCAAAACAAAGAATGCACAAACCAATAAGAGCACGAAACCGACCAATCAGAGCACGACACATACCAGGGTGCCATCGCACCACCTCCTCCCTCATCCTCTTCCGGTGCTGCTCCTTTGGCACGCCATGCAGAATCACATGCTTCAGCTCCTCCTCTCCCCCACCCACCACAGGGAACGGCACATCAGCCATGGTGATACCCATGTCGCATGACTTGGCAAATCTCTTCCATCTCTCATCGTAATCCTCTTGCTTCTGTACCACCTTCTTTTTCTGTACTTGCTCCTTGATCGCTGCTCTCCAGGCCTTATCCTTGGCCTGTTCTGCTTCCAGAACCTTCCTTGCTTCTTCCTCCCGTACCTTCCTCTCCTCCTCCCACCGTCTTCTCTTGTCCTCTTTCTCCTCCTGCTTCGCTCCAAAAACTGCCGCCCGGTGGCTCTCCTCGTCCCTCCTCATCCTATTCTTCATCTGAGCTGCCACGTCATCCTTCCAAGCATCATCAGCTCCCCATGGCCCGGCACCAAACCTGTCGGATTGGGACCCGAACCTGTGATACCGAGCCTCAGCAGCTGCTGCCTCTGCATTCTCCTCGGGATCTCCCCACAATGCAGGATTGTTTGAACCATTACCATAACCACCACCACCACCACCACCACCACCAAAGCACCCTTCATTGTCACTCCCCTCACCCCACAGGCTCCCAGCTTTTTCCAAAGCTGCTTCCGCAGTTCGGCGCCGCAAATCCATCAGCCTGCGCTGTACCAGAGCCTCGGGAGTCTCCCCAGCCAAATTCCGAGCCTGCATGTCAGCTCCGGCCCCTCTCAGCAGCTGGATAACCGAGGCATGGCCCATCCTAGCTGCCACGTGGACAGGCGTATTCCCTCTGTTATCCTGCACTGATACCAAATTGAACCCTTCCTTTTGGTCCTTGCTTGACCTTTTTGAGTGTCTACTAGACTTCTTGTCAGGATGACATACCTCCTTATTCTTGGCGAGTTTAAGGAGGTATTTGACGAGATCAGCTGAGCCTGAGTGGGCCGCGTGGTGGAGAGGGGTCCATCCCTGGGCGTCTGTACTACTCAGATCAACACGAAGCTTTTTGGAAGATGACCGTTTCTCCCTCTGTTTCCTATGACTGCTATGTGAGGTTTTACTCTTCCTGTGCTTGTCCTTGCGCCTGCTGCGCTTGTCCTCCCGTTCCTCCTGTTTATCCCGTTTCTCCCGTTTCTCGTACCCCCTTCCCTCCCTCTTATCTCGCCGCTTTCCATTGTGCTCATAACGAGGGGAGGAGGAACGACCTTTTTTATTGTGACTCTTCTTCCCCTGCTCTTCATCCTCCTCACCCCCCTCCTCCTTCTCCTTCCTTCGCCTCGTCCTCCTCGCTGCTGCTCTGCGCTCAGTCTCACTCGAGTCTGAATCTGAACTCAATTCTGACTCTGGATGTACACTCGAATCTGAACTTGATTCCGAATTGGAATCCGAATCCGAATCAGAATCTGATGACCTATCCCGGCGTTTCCTCCTCTTTGACCTCCTCTCGCCTCTTATCTTCCCGTCACCTTTCCTTCTTCTCTTCCTTTTGCTGAAGCTGCTGCTCCTACTCCCGGAAGTGCTATTATCCCTTTCGATAGAATCACAATCGTCACTATGACTTCGCCTCCTCGATCTTCCTCGATTCAACGACCCCTCTTCCTTACGTCTCTTGCGATCCCTCTGGTCCTTTTTCCGTTCGTCTGACTCGGATGAAGCAGCGTCTGAGCTGGACGAATCCCACCGTCCAGACGAGTCCGAATCCGACGGTTCAGATGCGTCCGACGCCGATGATCGTCCCGCCGACCCTTTCAAGAGGGCTTTAATCTTCTTTAAAGACCCCTGCGCGGAGTACTCAATCAGCTTCCGGCGAATTCTAGCGCTGCTCATGCCAGTCTACTGTCTGACGATACGGAGAGGTGTAGCGCCGCCGGGAAACGATTGTCGAGGCACCTAGAGAATGCCGAGGCAGGAAAGGGGAGCAGTGCAGCTGACAGCTGAAGCTGCTTGACAACGCACGCTACGCGGAAATTTTATCAGATTCTGCGACCAAAAAACAGTATCGGAAAGCCGGAAAGCAGCTGAGAAACTACAGCTTCGCAACCTGATTTTGAAGGTCTACTCTGGACCATACTAAATGAACTCGTCAACTCAGCCAGCCATGCTCAGCAGGAAGCAGGAAGCAGGAAGCAGGAAGAAATGGTAATGAGGCCGCACGCCGAAACACATACAGGCACGCTACCGTATCGCACCCACGCGTAATCTTGCTGGACATTGAGGAGTCGAACCCAAACTCTCGCAACAGCAACAGGCAAACCAGCTTGAACTTTCTCTACTTTGACCGACTCGCTACACGATAAGAGCGCAGTGTGCTGTCAATGACTTGGATTTGCTTTATTACTACGACATCCAATTGCCCACCCTAACCTGCAACAGCGATCAGTTCATATTGCTAGAAGTGGACCTCCCAGCTACTAAAAAAACTGGGTACAAATTGCTTGTGCGCCTACAATCGTGAATTGTTTTGCCATCACAGTCTACAGTGCCATTATAGAAGGTCGTTTTGGCCAGGGTCACAAATATAGACCAGACACTCGTGCCGAGGACGAAGTTGATGCACTTTGAGAGGCGGGGGAGGAGGTTTTGGTGGGAGGTGGAGGGGAAGCAGACGCTCGTTCTGGCTGCTGCATCACTGATTGCAGCCCCCCTCCCTCCCATCCCAGCCTCAGCATCTGATCCACCATCTTCACACTTAGCTGAAAGACGCAAGTGGTGCGGGTTGGAGGATGGTAAGGATAAAATATTAGGATGCTCGATTAGTGGGCTATGTGCTATGCAACAGGGTGGAGCGGAAGGTTACATAAAGTAAAGCATCGCCGAGACAACAGAGGATATTGATATGGCTACAATAAAACCACCACCAGGAAGGCGGCATAAATAAACACTTACAATTGGGTTACTGTAGAGAATGAGGTGGCCGGGGGAGAGAACGACAGAAGCAGAGCAGATGAGGTTGGTGTTGTCTGCTGACAGGGCCAATGATGTCACATCGCTGCTCTCAGGCAGCTTGAAGCGATACAGAGCCTGCTTGTAAGGGGGATGGAATGGATATAAGGAAGAGAGGTGATGGTCAGCAGCGCAGAGCAGATGAGGTTGGTGTTGTCTGCTTATAGGGCCAGGGCTGTCACATCGCTGCTCTCTAGCAGCTTGAAGCGATACAGAGCCTGCTTGTAAGGGGGATGGAATGGAATGGAGTAGAGGAGGAAGAGAAATGGTGGTCGGGAGACACAGGCAGTGCTGCTAGCACCTTGTTGCACTGGTACAGAGCATGCATATACAGGGGACATGCAGGCGATTTCTATGAAAGGTGAAGTACATTACCGGTGTGCAACAATAGAGGTGCATCAATTGCAGCACAAAGCACTTATCCACACGCATTCGAGGCCTGTATCTAAGTCTTGAGCCAACTTGCAGAACATTCGAGGACTGTACCTTGAAAGGGCTTTTGAGGAGACTCAACGCATTCAAAATCCGTACGTACCTTGAGAGTGAAGATTTCAAGGAGTGAAATAGCCGACCCTCTCTCCCGCTTGGACCCTCCTTCATCCGAATCCCTCCAGTTCGGCAACCCCTCCTCCTCAAACGCCTCCCTCCCATCCCCCCCTCTCCCCACCCCCTCTCCCTCCTCTCTCCCTCCTTCAGCTCGGCTCTTCCCACTCTTCCCGCTCTTCTCCTCCCCACCGACCTTCCTCACTCCCACGCTCTTACCCACCACCACTGCAGCCCTCTGCCTCTCCCTCTCTCTCTCCTTCTCCCTCGTGTATCTCCACCTAGTGCAATCCGTCCCCACCACCACATACAACCCATCTGCAGAGATCTGCACCGCACTCACATCCCCATCCTCCTCCGGAACCCCCACAGCCGCCACCGGCTCAGCATTAATCGTAAAAACTCTTAGCGCGCGCTTAGCTAATTCCCACACCACCACCAGCCCCTCGGGGGAAATCGCGAGCACGTCTGCCCGGGCGACCCCGGGCAGGGCGCGGAGAAACTTTCCGCGCATAATCGAGTGCAGAAGAACACCTGAGGAGAGCGAAGACGAGGCGGCAATATCTAGGTCTGAGGAAACGGCACAGCATACCACCTCATCTGTATGCCCTCTCAGCACATGCACGGGACCCTCTAGTCTCCTCAGCTTTTTCTTGACTTGCTCTATAGACGCTCGGCCGGCAGCGAGACTAGAAGCAGCGAGCCCAGATAACATCCTACCAGCGAGAGTAGAGCCAGCAGGAGAATCGCTGCTGCGGCTACCTCGCCTCCTCCGCTCCTCCTTCTCCCTCTCCTCTTCCTCTTCCTCCTCGTCCTCCTCCCTCCTACTCGCTGCTTCAGGCGACGACACAAGGCCGGGATCATGCGGCCCTCCAGTGAACCCCTGAGAAGAAGCGGTGCTGTCTGGCGTCCCCAGCATGCTGGCAGCGAGGCTCGAAGCAGCAGCAGCAAGCGAAGCCGAGCTGTTCACATGCCACAGCATCACCGTCCCGTCCGCTGCTCCTGTAACCAGCGTCGCCCCTTCAGGGGATAGGCTCAGGGAGGTCACAGGAGCGGTATGCACCAGTGCTGATTCAACCACGCGGGTGGTATCCACTGAGATTAGCTTCACACAACAGTCCGCATGGCCTCCCGTGATCAGATTCTTGCCATCCGGCGTGATTGCCATGAGCTCTTTCGGGCGGCGGATGCCCCTCGCAGGGAGAGCCAGCAGCCGCGGGTAAATCGACGTCTCCGAGACCATCCCTCCTCCTCCTCCTCCTCCTCCTCCTCCCCCTCCTCCTCCTGCTCCCCCTGCTCCTCCTCCTCCTACTCCCCCTCCTCCCGAACCAGCTCCCCCCAACCCTCCGCCTGTCCCAACCGAACCTCCGAAACCGCTTCCCCCTATTCCCATACCTAGTCCGGCCACTATGCCGCCCGCGCCAAACCCCGGGGCGGAGCTTTTCAGCATGCGGAGGAGTGCGCCGCCCGAAAGCGACGCCCGCCCGGGCTGGAACAGAAAAGGCCAACCGTGGCCGTCCGGCGTGTTGGGCTGCCATTGGTGGACGGCGATGTGACAGGCTGGCACGTTGTGATCGACGGTGATGATTGCGTCTGACGTGGCGTGCAGCCGGGCGGCCGGCACATTGAGGGTCTCGGGGCGGGGCAGCACGTAGGGGAGAATCTCGTTGGGCTTGCGGAATATGGTCTGGGGGGGACGGGGGGTGGAGGGGAAGAAGTGGGGGAAGAAGTGGGGGAAGAAGGGGCAGTTGGAAGTGGGGATGGGAGGGAGCAAGGGCACGTTGAGGGCCTCGGGGCAGGGGAGCACGTAGGGGAGAATCTCGTTGGGCTTGCGGAATATGGTCTGGGGGGGGGGAAAGGAGGCAGGGGTAAGGGAGTGGAAAGGAGAGGAAGGGTGGGGTGTAAGAGCATGAGGGAGCAAGGAAAAGGGAGAAACCTGTATGTGTAAACAAAAGCTTGAGCAAGTCACTCCCACTGAGCCACATACATGCGGGTAAAGAGCTCGGCCAGAGGATAACTGTAAAAAACAGTTGAAGACAGCCAGTTATACTGTTACATGTATGAGTCAAAAGTGGATGGACTTAAAATTTGAGCCACGTACATGCAGGTGTAGGGCTTGGTCGAGAGGGATGCGCTTGGGGTGAGGAGCGGTGAAGAGGTGTGAGGGCGTTTGGCCGAAGTACTTGATCTGATCCTCCAGGCCCTGCCGAGTGACCTGGGGCATTGCGGAACGACAGAGACAAGCAGTGAGGATGAGAGGACTTCGTTAAAAAAAAAAAAAAAAAAAAAAAAAAAAAAAAACAGCAACAACGACAGCAACAGCAACAGCAACAGCAACAGCAACAGCAACAGCATCAGCAACAGCAACATCAACAGCAACAGCAACAACTAAACTAAACAAAATTAAACCAAAAGCGCAAATAAACACAGCCTCGCATACAAGAGCACGATGTGACCTTTCACTCACAGGGTCATGAACCGAGTCAATATCAACAGCGCCCTCGTAGGTCACATAGAAGAACACGTTGTGCGCCTTCACTGCCTCTTGCCCTGTCTGCTTGTACCTGCATGGTGGGTGGGAAGAGAAGAAGAGGATGATGGGAGGAGCAAGATGGTGGGATAGAGATCGAGCTGGGGGGTGAGCTGAGCTGAGCTAGAGTCAAGGACACGTTTTGCGCCTTCACTGCCTCTTGCCCCATCTGCTTGTACCTACATGGTGGGAACGAAGGGGAGGGAGGAGGAGGAATTCTGCTTTTGAATTGACTCAAAGTTATTGAGACAGAAATGGAGTCCCTTGTGCAGGGTGAGGTAGAACGAACAGCCCCTTGTGCGCCCTCACTGCCTCTGAAGCGGAGGGAGGAGGAGGGATCAGGATCATGAGAGCGATGGAGCTGGGGTGAGCTGGGCGGAGGGATGAGGAGCTGGAGTGATGAACAGCCCCTTGTGCGCCCTCACTGCCTCTCTCTGGCCCTGTCTGTATGAAACGCACAGTGGAAAGGTAACCGTGTAAGATCTATTTCGCTCCGAGCCCTGAAATTAAGACGGTTGACCAAACAGAGATGTGGTTCAGGAGTTCAGATACCAACGGCAACCTGATCAACGGTGCACATTGCACATACCCGAAGATGAGGTCGATCCAATGGTGCAGGTTGCTGCTGACGTATTCGCTCTCCAGTGCCGCCCGCTGCTTGTGCACAAAATCAACCGAGCTGTCAGCCCAGGGCGGCAGCACCACATCCCCGATCTCCTCCCCTTGCTGTGTTGAGCCTAAAGGGATCCCGTTGACGTTCTGAAACATCTCTGGCAGGCAGAACCACTCGGGGATCTGCCAACGGAAGAAAAAAGGAGGAGAGGGTTGGGATGGGTGGAGAGGGAGGGAGAGGCAAGGGAGCACAACAAGGGGGCCACAAGGGAGCCACAAGGGAGCCACAAGGGAGCCACAAGGGAGCCACAAGGGAGCCACAAGGGAGCCACAAGGGAGCCACAAGGGAGCCACAAGGGAGCCACAAGGGAGCCACAAGGGAGCCACAAGGGAGCCACAAGGGAGCCACAAGGGAGCCACAAGGGAGCCACAAGGGAGCCACAAGGGAGCCACAAGGGAGCCACAAGGGAGCCACAAGGGAGCCACAAGGGAGCCACAAGGGGGCCACAAGGGAGCCACAAGGGAGCCACAAGGGAGCCACAAGGGAGCCACAAGGGAGCCACAAGGGAGCCACAAGGGAGCCACAAGGGAGCACAACAAGGGGGCCACAAGGGAGCCACAAGGGGGCCACAAGGGAGCCACAAGGGAGCCACAAGGGAGCCACAAGGGAGCCACAAGGGAGCCACAAGGGAGCCACAAGGGAGCACAACAAGGGGGCCACAAGGGAGCCACAAGGGGGCCACAAGGGAGCCACAAGGGAGCCACAAGGGAGCCACAAGGGAGCCACAAGGGAGCCACAAGGGGGCCACAAGGGAGCCACAAGGGAGCCACAAGGGAGCCACAAGGGAGCCACAAGGGAGCCACAAGGGAGCCACAAGGGAGCCACAAGGGAGCCACAAGGGAGCCACAAGGGAGCCACAAGGGAGCCACAAGGGAGCCACAAGGGAGCCACAAGGGAGCCACAAGGGAGCCACAAGGGAGCCACAAGGGAGCCACAAGGGAGCCACAAGGGAGCCACAAGGGAGCCACAAGGGAGCCACAAGGGAGCCACAAGGGAGCCACAAGGGAGCCACAAGGGAGCCACAAGGGAGCCACAAGGGAGCCACAAGGGAGCCACAAGGGAGCCACAAGGGAGCCACAAGGGAGCCACAAGGGAGCCACAAGGGAGCCACAAGGGGGCCACAAGGGAGCCACAAGGGAGCCACAAGGGAGCCACAAGGGAGCCACAAGGGAGCCACAAGGGAGCCACAAGGGAGCCACAAGGGAGCCACAAGGGAGCCACAAGGGAGCCACAAGGGAGCCACAAGGGAGCCACAAGGGAGCCACAAGGGAGCCACAAGGGAGCCACAAGGGAGCCACAAGGGGGCCACAAGGGAGCCACAAGGGAGCCACAAGGGAGCCACAAGGGAGCCACAAGGGAGCAACAAGGGAGCCACAAGGGAGCCACAAGGGAGCCACAAGGGAGCCACAAGGGAGCCACAAGGGAGCCACAAGGGAGCCACAAGGGAGCCACAAGGGAGCCACAAGGGAGCCACAAGGGAGCCACAAGGGAGCCACAAGGGAGCCACAAGGGAGCCACAAGGGAGCCACAAGGGAGCCACAAGGGAGCCACAAGGGAGCCACAAGGGAGCCACAAGGGAGCCACAAGGGAGCCACAAGGGAGCCACAAGGGAGCCACAAGGGAGCCACAAGGGAGCCACAAGGGGGCCACAAGGGAGCCACAAGGGAGCCACAAGGGAGCCACAAGGGAGCCACAAGGGAGCCACAAGGGAGCCACAAGGGAGCCACAAGGGAGCCACAAGGGAGCCACAAGGGAGCCACAAGGGAGCACAACAAGGGGGCCACAAGGGAGCCACAAGGGAGCCACAAGGGAGCCACAAGGGAGCCACAAGGGAGCCACAAGGGAGCACAACAAGGGGGCCACAAGGGAGCCACAAGGGAGCCACAAGGGAGCCACAAGGGAGCCACAAGGGAGCCACAAGGGAGCACAACAAGGGGGCCACAAGGGAGCCACAAGGGAGCCACAAGGGAGCCACAAGGGAGCCACAAGGGAGCCACAAGGGAGCCACAAGGGAGCCACAAGGGAGCACAACAAGGGGGCCACAAGGGAGCCACAAGGGGGCCACAAGGGAGCCACAAGGGAGCCACAAGGGAGCCACAAGGGAGCCACAAGGGAGCCACAAGGGAGCCACAAGGGAGCCACAAGGGAGCCACAAGGGAGCCACAAGGGAGCCACAAGGGAGCCACAAGGGAGCCACAAGGGAGCCACAAGGGAGCCACAAGGGAGCCACAAGGGAGCCACAAGGGAGCCACAAGGGGGCCACAAGGGAGCCACAAGGGAGCAAGGCTGTTGACGTTGTGAAACATCTCCTCCCCCCCTGCTGTGGCAGCCCAGGGGGGGCAGCACCACGACAGTGCAGGGCAGGGCAACAGCGCAGGAGGGGGTGGGAATGGGTGGAGAGGGAGGGGGCAAAGTCAACACATCCCTGCCCACTGCCCACGGCCCACACATCTCTCATCTCAACCGCCTCACTCACCAGTCACGCCCCTGTCCCCCCTCTCACCAGCTCCTTCACATCAGCCATGTCGGTGGTCACCCTCCTCCACGCGCTCTATACCACTCACCACCTACCAGTTGCTTCTCAATAGAAGCATAAACTTGGCACTTCTCAGTTACCTCCCCTGCCCCCTCTCCCCCCCTCTCACCAGCTCCTTCACATCAGCCATGTCGGTGGTCACCCTCCTCCACGCACTCGCCACGTCTCGAAAGAGCCGGCTGCCCACACACCAGCCGGGCGCTGCGCAGCCGCCAGCTGCCCACACACCTCACTCACCAGTTACCTCCCCCTTTCTCTCACCACCTCCTTCACGTCAGCCATGTCGGTAGTCACCCTCCTTCACGCACTTGACCCACTGCACACTCACACATGACAACTACCTCACACCCCTGCCCTGCCCCCCCTCCCCCTTCCCCTTGTTTTTGAGTCGACCAAAAAACAGAGTCGACTCAAAAACCAACTACCACACCCCTGGACCCCCCTCTCATCTCACCAGCTCCTTTTGAGAATTCTTCATATAAGTGATTTCAATATAACCAACTACCACACCCCTGGACCCCCCTCTCACCAGCTCCTTCATATCAGCCATGTCGGTGGTCACCTCCTCCCACGTGCTCGCCACGTCTCGAAAGAGCCGGTCGGGATGGTCCAGCCTCCCTCACTGCCCTCCCTCACTGCCCTCCCTCACTGCCCTCCCTCACTGCCCTCCCTCACTGCCCTCCCTCACTGCCCTCCCTCACTGCCCTCCCTCACTGCCCTCCCTCACTGCCCTCCCTCACTGCCCTCCCTCACTGCCCTCCCTCACTGCTCTCCCTCACTGCCCACTGCCCACACAGCTCTCAGTCACCGCTCCTCTGTCATCCCTTCCCCCCCCCTCTTTTCTCTCACCAGCTCCTTCACATCGGCCATGTCGGTCGTAACCCCCCTCCACGTGCTCGCCACATCCCTGAATAGCCGGTCGGGGTGGTCCAGTTTGCCGCCCTGGAGAGATGCAGCGAGAGAGGTGAAGGGCTCCAGACGCACGAGATAGTGGGAGGCCTGGGGTGGTGGGGGCGGAAGGGGGGAGGGGGGATTGGAGTGGTGGGGAGGTGGCAAGGGGAGGTGAAAGCATGTGGCATGTAGTAGGTAGGAGTCCCGAAAGAGCCAGTCAGGATGGTCTAGTTTGCCGCCTTGCAGGGAGACAGCGAGGGAGGTGAAGGGCTCTAAACGAACGAGATAGTCGGAGGCCTGTGGGGAGGGAGGGGAGCACATGCAGGCAAAGGTGACCCTTCCCTCCAGCCGCCTCGAAAGGAGCCGGCCGGGATAGTCCAGCTTTTTGCCTTGCATGGCGACAGCGAGGGATGCGAAGGGCTCTAGGCGCAAGAGATGGTGGGAGGCCTGGTGTGGTGGTGGGTGGGGGGGGAGCGAAGGGAGGGGATTGTGGTGTGGAGTAAGAGAAAAAAAAGTTGTGTTTGGTCCTTTGAACGAGCCGGCGCTTTTCGGTGCTTAGAGAGTTACTTATAATGCTAGAGGTGTCACATTGCTAGGGGAGAAACTCACAATGGCAGCACTGGAGTAGTGCGTGCCGCGGTGGGTGGAACTTGGGAATGACCGGATCCCCAGAGGAGCAAGGGACAGAGTGCTAAGAAACCGAGTCAGAGTACTGCTAAGAGAGGGAACAGTACTACAATAATCACTCACAATTGCAGCGCTGGAGTAGTGCGTGCCGTGGTGGAACTTGGGAATGATCGGATCGTGAGAGGAGCAAGGGGCACAGTGTTACCGTGGGGGCGAGTGCTAAGAGATCGACATGTGAAAAGGGGCACTCACTATTGCAGCGCTGGAGTAGTGCGTGCCGTGGTGGAACTTGGGAATGACCGGGTCGTCAAATGACTCGTAGCGCTCGGTTATCTTTGCCAGGCGCGGCTGAGTCAACGCTCCCATGGGCTAGAGGCAGGGGGGAGTGAGGAGTATTGAGGGAAATGAGGGAAAGGATATAGGGGAAAGAGGATCACGGGATCGTCAAATGACTCGTAACGCTTGATTATCTTTGCCAGGCGAGGCTGAGTCAACGCTCCCATGGGCTGGAGGCAGAGAAAGGGTGGATTAGGGAGGGAGGGAAATGAGGAGAGGGGGAGAGTTGCAAGGGGATGCAGCATGGCACGAAAAATCAGGGCGGCGAATTTGAGGGAACAGAAAATCGGGAACAGATGAGGATGGGAGGCAATTTCAGGCCAAACTATTCCAGCCCAGAATATATGTCAGTCGGGGGGAGACAAACCGGCCCAGAGCCACATTCCAATGATTCCAGCCTGGGCTGGCCTGCCCAGTTGTAGTATATTTCAGCCCAGGTGCAGTGCAGTGCAGTGCAGTGCAGTGCAGTGCAGTGCAGTGCAGTGCAGTGCAGTGCAGTGCAGTGCAGTGCAGTGCAGTGCAGTGCAGTGCAGCCCAGGGTTGTTACCTTTGAGAGGTCGCGGAATGTGGCTGTCTTGGTGAGATCGAGCTCCTTGGAGGTATAATCCTGAATTACCCACGGGAAGACGGGGTACTGCAAACAGACCAGGGGCAACGGGAATGGGGGCAAGGTAAGTAATGTGTGCCTGCTTCCAAGAGATGAACGTTCACTGAAGGTTCTATCCCTGGCGTGCCTTTGAGAAAGAGCGCGCACCTGAGTGACATCGTTGAAGGATCGCCCGGCGAGAGTGTTGAGGTGCATGAGGTACTCAAAGTTGGTGATCTGACGGGAAGTGGAGAGGAGTGGAGAGGAGTGCAGGGGAGTGTTGAGTGTTTTGCAACAGGAGAACAGAAGGGCAGTGGGCATCATGGAAAATTGGCCAGCAAGAGTGCTTGAGGTGAGCGGAAATGCGGTGCACATATATATGCGCACCACAGAGTGCCCACGTGATTGAAAAAGGGTTTTGAGACGTCTCAAAACCCTTCTTCAATCAAGAGTGCTTGAGGTGGGCGGAAATGCGGTGCACACATATATGCGCACCACAGAGTGTCTGTCCCTTACTTCTCTGTTGACCCATTTCTTGGTGAGCTGAAGCTTCTCCAGCATGGTCTCCGGTCGCTGGAAACACACACACACACACACACACACACACACACACACACACACACACACACACACACACACACACACACACACACACACACACACACACACACACACACACACACACACACACACACACACACACACACACACACACACACACACACACACACACACACACACACACACACACACACACACACACACACACACACACACACACACACACACACACACACACACACACACACACACACACACACACACACACACACACACACACACACACACACACACACACACACACACACACACACACACACACACACACACACACACACACACACACACACACACACACACACACACACACACACACACACACACACACACACACACACACACACACACACACACACACACACACACACACACACACACACACACACACACACACACACACACACACACACACACACACACACACACACACACACACACACACACACACACACACACACACACACACACACACACACACCACACACACACACACACACACACACACACACACACACACACACACACACACACACACACACACACACACACACACACACACACACACACACACACACACACACACACACACACACACACACACACACACACACACACACACACACACACACACACACACACACACACACACACACACACACACACACACACACACACACACACACACACACACACACACACACACACACACACACACACACACACACACACACACACACACACACACACACACACACACACACACACACACACACACACACACACACACACACACACACACACACACACACACACACACACACACACACACACACACACACACACACACACACACACACACACACACACACACACACACACACACACACACACACAACACACACACACACACACACACACACCACACACACACACACACACACACACACACACACACACACACACACACACACACACACACACACACACACACACACACACACACACACACACACACACACACACACACACACACACACACACACACACACACACACACACACACACACACACACACACACACACACACACCACACACACACACACACACACACACACACACACACACACACACACACACACACACACACACACACACACACACACACACACACACACACACACACACACACACACACACACACACACACACACACACACACACACACACACACACACACACACACACACACACACACACACACACACACACACACACACACACACACACACACACACACACACACACACACACACACACACACACACACACACACACACACACACACACACACACACACACACACACACACACACACACACACACACACACACACACACACACACACACACACACACACACACACACACACACACACACACACACACACACACACACACACACACACACACACACACACACACACACACACACACACACACACACACACACACACACACACACACACACACACACACACACACACACACACACACACACACACACACACACACACACACACACACACACACACACACACACACACACACACACACACACACACACACACACACACACACACACACACACACACACACACACACACACACACACACACACACACACACACACACACACACACACACACACACACACACACACACACACACACACACACACACACACACACACACACACACACACACACACACACACACACACACACACACACACACACACACACACACACACACACACACACACACACACACACACACACACACACACACACACACACACACACACACACACACACACACACACACACACACACACACACACACACACACACACACACACACACACACACACACACACACACACACACACACACACACACACACACACACACACACACACACACACACACACACACACACACACACACACACACACACACACACACACACACACACACACACACACACACACACACACACACACACACACACACACACACACACACACACACACACACACACACACACACACACACACACACACACACACACACACACACACACACACACACACACACACACACACACACACACACACACACACACACACACACACACACACACACACACACACACACACACACACACACACACACACACACACACACACACACACACACACACACACACACACACACACACACACACACACACACACACACACACACACACACACACACACACACACACACACACACACACACACACACACACACACACACACACACACACACACACACACACACACACACACACACACACACACACACACACACACACACACACACACACACACACACACACACACACACACACACACACACACACACACACACACACACACACACACACACACACACACACACACACACACACACACACACACACACACACACACACACACACACACACACACACACGTACGTGGGCAAGATAAGAAAGCAAGAAACAAGACATAGACAAGAAGAGAAGAGAATGAACATTACAATAGAAACCAAGGGCCACACACAGAGGACAAGGACTCAAAGATGAGCACCACTGTTACAGGGATAAGAATTCAGAGATGGGCCCAGAAAAACATTCTGATCGCTTGGCAGGGCAGGTACGATAGCGACCACCACCCTTAAAACACATAGCAAGACAGCATGACAGGCCGAAAGAAGTGTGCTAGAACTAATAAAGAACGACATGAGAATGCACTGAGCAAAGAGTCCGTTGCAATCACCTGCGATTCCGAAAAGAGGTGCTGGAAGTGTGGCAGGTGGGCCCTCTGTATCACTCTAAGTAATCATCTGCAAGCGAGTGCAGCACTGTACCTGCGAGGCGGAGAAGAGGTGCTGGAAGTGCGGCGGGTGGGCCCTCTCGATGGCACGGTGCACTCGCTTGCGCTCCTCGGCCCCCACAAAGGCAAAGAAAGTTGAAACGGCCTACCATGAATGTGCTATACTCACCTGAGATGCAGAGAAGAGGTGCTGGAAGTGCGGCGGGTGGGCCCTCTCGATGGCGCGGTGCACTCTCTTGCGCTCCTCGGCCCCCTCAAAGGCAAAGAAGAAGTTGGACCGGTCTATCATGAATATCTCCAGGGCAGAGCGACGCAGAAGGTAGCTGATTGCAGGGGGCAGGATGGCAGGGGAATAAGGGCAGAAAGTGCTTTAAAATAGAAGTGTGTGCTCCCTCAAAGGCAAAGAAGAAGTTGGACAGAGCGGTCTATCATGAATATCTCCTGAGCAGAGCAGCGCAGCAGGTAGCTGGTGGGAGGGAGAACGTAGAGGGAATCGTGTCGGTAAATATCAAAGGCAAAGAAGAAGTTGGATCGGTCGATCATGAATATCTCTAGAGCAGAGCGGCGCAGCAGGTAGCTTGATGTAGAGGGAGAAGGGGAGAGGGGAGGAAGGGAGGATATGGTGGATAGAGGCAGTCGTGTTAGCCAACAGTCAAGGCAAAGAAGAAGTTGGACCGGTCGACCATGAGTATTTCCAGAGCAGAGCGACACAGCAGGTAGCTGGAGCAGGGATGGAGGGGAGTAAAGGGGGGGTTTGCTTTGCATGTGAGTGAGTGAGTGAGTGGTCCCTCAAAGGCAAAGAAGAAGTTGGACCAGTCGAGTCGACCATGACTATTTCTAGAGCAGAGCAGCGCAAGAGGTAGCTGGCGGGAGGGAGCACATGATGGAGGGAGAGAGTCGTGTTAGTAGCAAACGTCTAAGGCAAAGGTTCAGTCAGCAACGGACGTTTGAGGCACATCAGAAGTTGCGTGCCAAACCAAGTGAAACACATAGTGAAATGAAATCCACACACCACCATGACATCCAGTTAAGGACCCTCACCGTCGAGTAAGCACTTCGCGGACAGATGAGAGCCGCCACATGCAATCGGCCATGCTCCCAACCACCCACCCAACCAACCACCCACCCACCCAACCACCCACACCTACCCACCACCAAAGTCTATCCTATGGCACCCAGACCAGTTGTCTCACCGTCGAGTCAGCACTTCGCGGACAGATGAGAGCCGCCACACGCGATCGCCCATGCTCCCACGCGCAGTCCCATCTCCTCCTGTCGCTCCTTCGCTGCTGCCCACCTTCCCCTCTTTGCCGCCGCTGCTACTCGAAACCGAAGCCTCCTGATTGCTTTTCGCCTCATCCTCCTGTCCACCGTCCTCCTTTCCTCCGCCCACCTCACTCTTCTCTCCCTTCTCACTCTTCTCTCCCTTCTCTCCCTGTCCTCCGCCCCCTCTCTCTCGGAAGGGCACAGAGGGGTCCACGTGGAACCAGAGGCGAGTGGTGGTAACCACCAGCCGCCCCTTCACTGTTCGCAGCGGCTGTACCATCATTGCTGCCACGTCAGCCAGCACCTCTTCGCCGTCCACATCCGCCACTAGCGTCCACTCCACGCCGCCCGGTTTCGCTCTCTTCTTCCCACCACTGGACGATCCACTTGGCTTATGCTTCTTCCCTCCACTCGCACCCCCTTCCACACCACCACCCTCAACACCATCTCCCACCTCTTTCCTCCTTACATCCTCTCCTGCTACTACACTCCCAAGCACTTCCCTCTCAGCAACAGCCCCTGCTGTAGCTCCGTCTCCCCCACCCACGTCACCTCTCCCTACCCCTCCCTCCTCGCCTCCCTCCTCCTTCCCAGCTCCCTCTCCTCCTCCCTCTCCTCCTCCCTCCCCTCCTCCCTTCCCTCCTTCCTCCTCGTCTCCCTTTACCTGCTCTTTCTCCCCTTCCCCCTCCGCTACCCCCTCCTTCTCCCCCTTCCCACCACCACCCCTCATGAAGCCCCCAAGAGGCGCAGGCAGGGCTCCCCCAAGCCGCTGCACTGCCTCCTCCACTGCTGCAGCACTCGTTTCTGTGGCTTCAGCTGTGGCTGCTGCTGCTCCAGCAGCAGCATCGGACCCGGCGTCTGCAGCAGCATCTTCTGCAGCTACAGCAGCACCCCTTATGGCCCCGTGGGGACCGGAAACAAGGAGCCTGGCAGTAGCAGTTGTGGAGGAGAAGCATGGCTTCACGCGCCGGCGCATGCGCAGAGAGGTCTCCATGCGATCCAGCTGCCACACGGCCTGATGGGTGGTGGATGGGTGGGTGGGTGTATTGGGGGGTGGAATGGTGGTGAGGAAAGTGCATGCGCAGAGAGGTCTCCATGCGGTCCAGCTGCCACACCTCCTGGTGGAGGAATTGGGGGTTTATGGTACGGTACGGTAGGGTACAGGGGGGATGTTGGGAGGCAAGGGACAGCTGCCACTCCCCTTCAGCCGTCACCTCACTCACAGTGTTTTGAGGTGCAAACAAGCCCGGAAACTCAAAACAGTCGCACAAGCACAAGAGCCCTTTCAAATGCTCCACGACTTGATGATAAAACTTGGAAGAACAAAAACACTCACTCGTGATTGGCGGAATTCCTCATGGCTTGCCCGAGCGCCACACAGCCGCCCAGACTTGAGCAGCTGGCGAATGAGAGAGCGCCACATGCGCGCTCCTGCCGCCCGAGCCTTCACAATGGGTGAGTGAAGCTTTGCTTCTTGCAGGGTCTGGAGAGGGGGGTGGGTGAAGAATGGGGGAAAGGAGGGTGGGAAGATGGGAAGGATGGGGAAACGGTCGGAGGACTGAAAGTTTTTAGTGCATGAGTTTTCATCCCAGGAGAAGGCAAGAAACAGAGCAGCAGAAAGAGAGGATGTGACCCAGGGAGGCTGTGACCCAGGGAGGCTGTGACTCAGGGAGGCTGTGAGTCTGTGACCCAGGGAGGCTGTGACTCAGGTGTGACTCAGGGAGGTAAGCTGTGACCCAGAGGGAAGTAAACGCTGGTGTAGATGACAGTTGCGGGAGGCTGACCTGTGAGTCGAGCAGGTCGTGCAGAGAGGAGAGGTAGAGCTGCAGTCCTCCTACTCTGGGTCCCAGAGAGATGCTATACCGCATGTCCACCTCATCCCCTCCCACTCCCTGTTGTTGCTCACACCTCATTCTCTGCTGGGGGAGGCTGACTGACCTGTGAGTCGAGGAGGTCGAGCAGAGACGAGAGGTAGAGCTGCAACCCCCCCACTTTAGGTCCCAGAGAGATGCTATACCGCATCTCCACCTCATCCCACTCCTTGATACTGCTCACACCGCTGCTGCTGCCCTTGACAGGAGAAGAGTGCAGGAGACTAGAGAGCTTGAGAGCAGGGTGTTTGAGACCAATCACATCTACCCACGCGCCTTCCAGCGAATCCCACAGGCTCCACCGCCCAGACCTCTGAATGTCCCCCTTCTCCCGCCGCTTCGCTGACGTGGCGGCCTCGGGAACTCCGTCCACTCCCGGCCTGCCATCTGTCAGCCCGTACAGCCTATCCATGTGCCCCAGCTTCCTCTCTCGCCCCATCCTTCCAGCAGCAGCACCAGCACCGAAAAATGCACCACCCACACCGCTACCACCACCGCCGCTCCTGCTGCTGCTGTTCCAGCTCCTACCCGAGCCATGAGCAGCAGCAGGGCCTGTGGCAGCAGCAGTGGCGGCCAGGCAGACAGCAGCAGGCGGCGAGGCAAACGCAGCGACCCACACCGGGGAGAGAAACGCAAGAGCAGCATCTGTAGGGCTGGCGTCGGTGGCAAGAGCCGGGGTGTTGAGGTCTGAGAGGGGGGAGGCGCCTGTGTGGTCTGAGAGGAGGCGGAGGCAGCGGAGGGATGGGCGCCACTTGCGGAGGAGGGCGGTGAAGGGGGGGAGGAGGAGGGCGAGGAAGGTGGGGCGCAGTATGGTGCGATCGCAATCGATTGAGTGGATAATCTGGCCGGTTGGGGGGGAAAGAGGGGGGGGGGGGGGAAGAGGGGGAGGGAATGAGCTGGATGTCATCACATTTAGGGGTGGAGAGGGCGGAAGAGAAAGCGCTCATTGAAGATACAGCCACCACCACCAGTAGCTTGGCGTGGGACGCCACAAGTGCACGCTTTGATAATAAAACTACGATGGAGCAGTTTGCACACTGCACGTGTGTGCAGTGCGGCATACCTCTGTGCTCGGCACATACCTCTGTGTGCAGAATTGCAGCGACGGAGAGAGCGCAGTTTTGCCGCTGGTCGAGGCGAGAGGTGGTGAGGAGCGGCGCCAGGATTCTGACAAGCGGGGTTGGGAAAACAGCCACAGGGAAAACAGCCACAGGGAAAACAGCCACAGGGAAAACAGCCACAGGGAAAACAGCCACAGGGAAAACAGCCACAGGGAAAACAGCCACAGGGAAAACAGCCACGGGGAAAACAGCCACAGGGAAAACAGCCACAGGGAAAACAGCCACAGGGAAAACAGCCAGGAAACAGCCGCAGGGAAATGCACGGAGGTTGAACAGTGAACTTGCATGGACAGGTGGATGCCATACGGATGGATGATGGGCGTGGGGCTTGGGAGAGAAAGCAGACAGAAACGAATACGAGTCAAATGTTTGGATGATGGATACACTCCATATATACACTCAAATTATTTGAGTCAAGCTCCAATGTATACACTCACCTCCACAGCAAGGAGCTCAGAACTTTCTCCGTGACTTCCTCCCCCTCCCTCACTCCTTTCCTGATCAGCTCCCCACCCATCTCCCCCCCATCCGTCTCCCTAGCCGCCACCAACACCACCCTCAATATAGTCACAAGCGATTGATCATCATCCAATATCCCTTTAAGAGCCTCGCTCATTCCTGCCCCCACCCCTCCCAGCACAGCCAAAACGCCAGACTCCGCTGCTCCCACCCCCTCCTTCTCCAGAAGCATACCCTTCAGTATAGTCACACCTTTTAGCACTAGGCGTAGGTCTACCCATCCCCCTGCCTCATCCTCCTCCTCATCCTCCACTATAGGTTCAGCAAGCTCTAATAACACTCGCTCTAAAGCAGACACCTCTGCTCTGCTCCCCTCCTCACTACCACCCGCCTCCCCTCCCTTCCCCCCCTTCCCTCCTCCCTCACCCCCCCACCCCACTGCCTCCTCCCCTTCCTCCCCCACACCCTCTCCAAACCACAGCCGGGACCGGCGGCGCCAGCTGTCGGGCAGGGATTGGACAATAGATCCGTAGCTAGCTAAGGCAGATTGGACGGCTTTGAACCGCCTTGGTTTGTGCTTCTTGCGGTTCCTCTCTATTGCTGACCCGAGGCCTGATGGCGATGCATGTGTCTGTAGCCGCCGCTCCTGCCGCTCTTGTTGGGGGCTGTCTAGGGAAATAAGGGAGGCTGATCCTGGTGGGGATGACAGGGGGGCTAGAGGAGGCGAGACGGTGGGGTGCAGGGGTAGATTGGAGGGAGAGAAGGAGCCGGTGAGCAGATCAAAATGCATCCCAGCTGCTGCTGCTGCCGGCACTGCTGCGGGTGCTGATAATGATTCGTGCACGGCTGCTCCTGCCGCTGGGCTGGAAGTGGGTGCTGCTGCGGAGGTGGTGACAGTGACAGTGACAGCAGTGGAAGGGAGGGTTTCTGCGCTGAGATCGATGAGAGGGAACTCGGCCACCCACCCGAAACCATTAGAGGCAGAATCTGCAGCAGCTGTAGCAGGCGAATCGGCTATAGCAGCTGTAGCATCTGCAGTGGGAGGGTCTGTCTGGCTGGTAGATTCAGGGTCCAAGGAAGGAAACTCAGCCATCCATGCAGGAGTAGCAGCAGCAGTTGCTTCAATGCCTCCTGTACCTTCTGTAGTTGCCCCTTCTGCTGCTGCTGTTGCTTCTGCTGATATTCCTGCTGTCGTTGCTCCAGCAGCAGTAGCAGTATCGGCAGAAGCGGCACCACCAACACCAGCAGCAGCGGCAGCAGCAGCAGTCAAAGCAGCATCAGCCGGATCAGCCCAAGCAGCAGGCCTATGCTTCCTCTGCCCCTCCCCATCCTCCTCCTCCTCTGCCACCACCGTCCACCGCACTCCATCCCTGTCCACCCTCTGACCCTCCACCAGGCCATCCCCACTCTCCTCCTCCCCTTCCTCTTCCTCCTCGCCCTCCCCCACGCTAATCTTCTTCTCAGCCTGCATGCGTAGAAACTCTTCCAGCAGCATCAGCAGTGCCACTGCGTTTTCTAACAGGCAGGTGGCAGCAGCAGCAGCAGCAGCAGTTGGGGCAGCAGCAGTTGGGGCAGCAGCAGCAGCA